GATATTGCTTATCAAGCTTTTTTGGCAGAATTATCTTCCGCTGTTCTCCACGTGGATAATAATGAGCGAGAAAGATAGTGAGGGAGTCACTGGATGTGTGCCGGGGGTCAGAAGGCCTCCCATAATCAGGTATGAGCCAACTACTGGTACTAAAGAATACATTAACCTCACCAGTGAACAATTATCCAGTTATCGTGTTAGTACTCAATCAGCCACCAGACAGTTTGCCAACATTCATCACACCAGCACTTCCCCACTTGACATTCATGGTGACAAGCTTCAGGTAGCTGGCGTTCACAGACCCAGTGGTCCTGTCCAAAGTACCGACACACCCGACATTCAGCCAATGCTTCAAAGAAATGAAGATGATGAGTCAGTTAAGATGAAAAGAACCATCGTAACCAGTGGTGACCCCTACATCACTTACGACAACAGCGTGAGACGAGAGGATGACAGGTGGGCAGTGGTCGTGGAAACGTTCAGTGGCACGTCTTCGCCTGACGAAGAGGACGACATCTACGACCCCTACTATAACTACCCAACCAGAAAGTCAAAGTGAGTGTGTGAAATTGTATCTTGTTGTTTCAGGACATCAGTTGACTTCTTGGTAAACATCAAAAGTGCTTTTATCTCTTGAACAGTTTTCAACACCCTCGCTCCTCAATGTGAGTGTGTGCGCCATCATTGTGCACAGCCCTATTTCCTATTATTATTATTATTATTTTGAGGAAAACTTTCAAGAGGCCGGAATACTTATCTATCTATCTATCTATCTATCAGCACGCCACCTGTGAGAGAGGTAACCGGCGTTGAGTTGAGTTAAATCAATTGTCACATTTTTTATCATCATTTTCATACTGGAATCAAAAGAGGTTCAGACAATGAGATTAAATGAAGAAAGAATTGCAGGAAAAAATCTCACGGCGTTTTCTGGGGATTTCTTCACAACACATCTCATTAATTTACCGGTACCACGGCGTGAAAGTTAGCTGAAGAAACTAAACAATCTTAATAGATGATGTATCGGATCGGTACAACAACGCCCTCTATAACTTTTATTAATGCAATTAAACTTAACCAAACTTGTGGAAAGAGGTTAGGGAGGAAGGAAACTGGGGAGGAGGATGTAGGTTATGTATCTAAGCTACTGTGCCGAGTAGCAACCTTGTATATAAGCTACTGTGCCGAGTAGCATTTATATATGTAATTACGTGGCAACACTGCTCGTGTTATGTGGCACCATTCCCCTCGGGGGTCTAGGACAACTGGCCGCCGCCATCTGGCCGCAGCCCAACTGGCCGCGGGAAACTCGCCGCGGCCGACTGGCCGCCAGATGGAACTTTTTGTTGACAACCTAACCTAACCTAACCAAACCTAACCAAACCTGGCTGCGGCCATATGGCGGCGGCCAGTTGTCCCATTCCCCTCGGTCTGACTCCTTGGGTCGTGCATGGCACACGCTAGTCACTACTTGTATTTCTCCTATCCGTTAATAAATAGACTTCAGTGTTACCCAGTGTTTCCCTACCCATCACTGCCTTCTTCAGGGAACACTTGGAACCTTCAGAGGATGGGAAGGAAGGAAGAAGAAGACTGGAAAGAAGGGAGTAGGCCGGAGCATAGGAACTAAAAGCATTACTGCGCACCAACACCTACTATTCACAGAGCAAGTTCTCGTTATGTTAGGTGAATCACTAAACAGCTCTTACTATATACGTTAAGAAAAGTATAATGTTGTATCTCTGTGCGTATGGAGATGCAGGCTGGTCACGTCAGTTTCAGGAGGATTTACAGGTTATACAGTTGGTCGTACAAGTGGTGGTGGTGGTGGTGGTCATGCAGACGGTGTTGGTGTACTGGGCCTCCTCCACTGATGCTGAAAGCATAGCCATCCTCGCGGGCATTCATGAGGGGGCGACCTATGCTCGCACTGAACGCCGGAACCTCCTTATAATCAATGACAGCACTTCTGCGCTAGCGAGGCTCAAATTACCCTCCCCCTCCTCCCCTGCCGCCCAACACACCCTAGCCGCCGTTGCAGGGCTAGAACAAACTGATGACATCCGTGTCAAGTTTATTTGGATCCCGTCACATATAGGAATAACTGCCTGTGACACTGTTGATCGGCTTACCAAAGAAGCTACACAAGAAGAAGATACTGAAGCCACTCTCGCCCTCTCCCTGAATCATCTCAAATCTCGCATACACGCCACACAACGAGAGGCATTCAACGAAAATTGGACACACCTGAAACAACGAGGTAGCACCACACTATGCCACTATGACGCTGTAACCGGTGACGACAACCGCCACTACAAAGAATATCAATCCCTGACTCGATCTCAACAGCTTATATACATGAGACTGCGCCTAGGGTACAGGTACCTATGGGAGTACATTGGCAACCCTGAGCCTCACCGCACTGTTTGTAAACTTTGTGGCCAACCCGACTCTCACACCCTCTCTCACTACATCCTCACTTGCCCTATGACCTCCTCCTACAGGTCCCCAGCCGTTACCAACACCTCTTCCCTCCCAGACCAGATATCCCTCCTCCTTGTCACAGGCCTGGCATTTGACATTATTAGGGACCTGCCACTCTTTGCCATAAACAGATGAAATGTACCGGGAACTTTCCCCCCACACACTCATCATTCTCTCACTTTATGTAACTTGACAAAACCGATGACCCTTCAGGCTTTTACGCCCTTAATGTACGAGTCATAAAGGCAAGTATGAACTTTTCATACGTCCTTGTTGGGCGCTGTAAACACTTCTGCGCTTCACCTTGCACAGGATGTCAGGGGGTGCCCAATAAACTAGCCCCCTCGGGGGGCAAATCTGAATCTGGTGTTGGTGTAGGTATTAGTGGCGGTGAAGGAGGTGACTGGTGATGGTGACTGATGGTGTTCCAGGAGCTGAATAGTGGTGGTAGTTGATGGTGTTGGTAAAGGTGATAGTGGTGATGGTGCAGGAGGTTAATAGTGGTTAATGGTGTGATGGTAAAGGTTTCAGTGGTGGTTAATAGTGATGGTGGTATAGTGGTGATGGTGCAAGGGTTGTAATAGTGGCTGATGTGAACACAGTTGATGGTGGTGTTGGTAGTAACAGGTGATAAAGCCAACACTATAGGGGTGATGGATGTTGTCAGCGTGTGTGTGGACGTGCTTGAGTATTGAGTAATTAAACGAAATTTCGAGGTGGCCTTGGTGGGGCCATGACGACTTGGAGCGTAACGTCGGTTCAACACCAATAGCTTCAGTGGTTCACTCTTATCACTGCAGGGAAGTGATATAGGAACACTGCTGACACGCTCTACTATTATTATTATTATTATTATTATTATTATTATTATTATTATTATTATTATTATTACCTTAACACTTTCATTCGCTCGGGTTTCTTGCTCACCTCACCACAACACCACGTCATCAACAGTAATGCCTCACCACAACACCACGTCACCAACAGTAATGCCTCACCACAACACCACGTCAACAGTAACAACGCGTCATCAACAGTAATGCCTCACCACAACACCACGTCATCAACAGTAATGCCTCACCACCACAACACGTCATCAACAGTAATGCCTTACCACAACACCACGTCATCAACAGTAATGACTTACCACAACACCACGTCACCAACAGTAACATCGCGTCATCAACAGTAATGCCTCACCACAACACATCATCAACAGTAATGCCTCACCACAACACCACGTCATCAACAGTAATGCCTCACCACCACAACACGTCATCAACAGTAATGCCTCACCATAACACCACGTCATCAACAGTAATGCCTCACCACCACAACACGTCATCAACAGTAATGCCTCACCATAACACCACATCATCAACAGTAACATCGCGTGATCAACAGTAATGCCTCACCACAACACCACGTCATCAACAGTAATGCCTCACAACAACACGTCATCAACAGTAACATCGCGTCATCAACAGTAATGCCTCACCACAACACCACGTCATCAACAGTAATGCCTCACAACAACAACACGTCATCAACAGTAACATCTCACAGCAACACGTCATCAACAGTAATGCCTCACCACCACAACACGTCATCAACAGTAATGCCTTATCACTTCATTACATCAGCTTATCAACACAGAAGCAGTTTAGCATCAACCAAAATTTAACATTAGTAAAAGATGACGACGGTAACTCACCACAACTGCACCACCACATGAGTGAGGTAACCTTTAGTATGGGAGTAAAACATCTGTGCTTAACACCTGCTACTAGCCCCACGGTCACACCTGCGCTGAACTCTGAAATACGTGATACCACCAGATTGTGAACACCATTCCTCTAGTTTTATTTGAATTTACGAAACTTTGGAATATCGTTTGGTTTATTAACATATTCTTCAAATGCCTAAGATATTCAGGTAATTATGATCATACATAAATGGGAGGCTTTGTGGTTATTACTGAGTGAGACGTATATATGGGATGAAGCTGTGTTTGTTTGGTACCAGAACCTACTTTACTGTTGTGTCGTTGAGGTGCTCTTGTGTGGTGACAATCCTCGAGTTCTTCCTCCACTTCACAATGCCGTCGGAGAATATCAGTCTCCTCACGATGTAAATTTTGGAGGTCTATTCTACTGGTGGAGTGGTGAAGTAACGGTGATGGTGGTTCTTAATGGCGATAGTGGTGGTGATAGTGTACATAAGTTTCTGGGAAGGTAGCAAGACGAAAAGAAAAGATATTATTTTATCTCAATCCACTTATCTGTATTTTTTTGTTTTGTAACCAAAGGAGGGAACCAAGCACTGACTTATGAAAATAATAGTAGTGATAGTGGTGGTGCACGACGACCATGTAACGGTGGTGCGTGACGATGGTGGTACGAGGTGATGGTAGTAGTGGTAGTGACGACTACAACGGTGGAGGCACGTGGCTGTGGTACGTAACGGAGGTGATGGTGATAGGCGGGAGGAGAGAGGTTGGTCAGTGAGTTGTGTGAAGGGTTGGAACGAGTCACTCACCAGTGCAGCAGCTGTAGGCGAGTGAAGCGAAGGCAGGCAGTGTGTGTGTGTGTGTTGTGGTGTTTTGTTGACACTACTGGGGGCAGGCAGACAGGCACTCGTGAAACATCCCCAAGCACAGTTTGCGATGAGGTTTGACAAGCATGTGGTAGTGGGCTGCAACACACAAATGGAAGCTGGTTTATAGATGCAGTTTGTGGTGATGGTGGTGGTGGAAAGCTTTGTCTGATAGTATTGTCATGACGTATTCAGCAGCTTGTGATGTAAACAGCATCATTATTGAGAGTTATATTGCAACATTTTACACATATATCAGACGTCAGTACGGTAAAAAAGGATCTGAAGTCTGAAGTGTAACTAATTTTATCTTTTGAATCATTAGGTTGAGAAACAGAATATTCCGACTCATGTTGCGAGTGTTGCAGCGAGCTCCTGGGCCAGTGTACAAGTGGGTGTGGTGGTGCAAACACACCCTCCCAGACATCTTAGCCTCACACAGGTACAACCCACCCTCCCTGAGCCCTGACCTCAACAGGTGGCCTACATGCCCTCCACCACCTTCCTCCTACAATTTCATCTTTACGTGTGCTTCTTGATGTTCAACAGCGATAATTATCTCGTAATTTTGATTAGTTTATGGATGTCATTAAGATCTGATGTGATCGTGAAAAACTATAGTTATTCTAAATTTAGTAACCTAATATTGCATTAATGTTTGCTGGAATAAGTAACTTGCGTGTTTATTCGTAAATGCGAGGGGATAGTGATCTTAACACGGTGGCGATATAAGCTTGCGTAATCGCAACCTTTAGAGAAACTTTCCACGGTCTTGATGTTACATTTCCTAAGCGAGCACCAACGTTATCACTTTCTCCTTCACGCCACAGCTGGTGCAGAATCCAACAATACCTCACAGCTACACCAACACACTGTCCCAGCCTCATGCTTATGTCTCCTTAAGACAAAATGTTTCAGAATGTTTAATGAATACAAACACCATGATGGTCAAACAGTTTTGATTTGCATGTAGATTTGTGGAATACTTGAATATAAAATTGAAAATACAAAAACGTGGGACATTGGTATGCACGGAAGATAACAGTGAGGGAGTAAAGTAGTCATGTCGGGAGAGGAACTACTACTCAGTTCACCGAGCTCCTTACAACACACAACTTCACTATAAAACATGCACACTAACGTCTCTTCATCACCACTACTAGCTTGTGTAATTACCGGTATGCATTTATATTTTCTCTACCCACCAACAAGAAGTCCGCAATCTTTGACTTTATCAAAATCTAGGATATTATAATTCAAGTTATCATAAATAACTTAGCGAATGTGGTTCATAGCGACCTGAGTATCTATAGTCGTACACGTCCAGTAGCTATATCAAAATTTATACTGTACAAGACGCGAAGGCCGTATAATTGCATGCATCCACTTATTACGTCTTTAACTGATCATGTGTTGTAGAAGTGACAGCTGAAGCGGGTGGGTGACGTCGTATCAACAAAACAGTGGGTGTTGTATGACTCGGGCAGTGGTGGTGACCCACTGCAGGGGAGGCGAGGATCGTTCAGTGCTGTTCAGTCACTTTGCTAGATTAGACGGAGTAGACCACTGAACAGCTTGGGCTAGCAAACTGCATCTTATATTGCCATACAGTTGTTTGATAACGTGGATAACAAAGAAATAAGATGTGTTAGCCTGTTGTCTTTGAGGAGGTATAATATACTGTACACGCTGAATATCACACAACATACTAGTATTTTCGTTGTATGTACTATTATATGCTTTCCCTTGTAGAAAATTAAAAGATGAGACTTCATAATTATCAAACTAACCCGTGAGGCGTTAAACCTTGACATTTCAACAACCAAATGTCGCTGTGACGGGAAAAATTGTGCTTAACTGAGTGAAGAGTTCATTTACGCGAGTATACTTCCAGCACACGTACAGTATATACATTACATTACTAGCTCTGCAACACCGCCCCAGCTAATACAGTATGCTCCCTTGTTTCTTATATACAGTATTAACAATACTCAGGCAGATTCTTACTGACATTTTGCAGGAGAATAAACATTAATGTCTTGGCTATCAAGAAGCACATTAATACCTATTACTCAAAGAACCGCGGGACCTAAATGGGATTTGGTGAGGTTAGTGTAAGGGTGGTTTTGAGCTCTAGATATTTCAATTTAGTTATTCTCGGACTAGCGTGTTCTTAGCTCCCACACATCAATACTATCCTCAACTCGGGTCCAAATATTATTTTCCATATTTATACCCCATTCGTTCCAAATCGTAATAATCACAGGTTTTGCAAATAAAAGTGGCAAATCCTTATTTGTATTAAATAGCTTTACGTTAACATAATATTGAATTTGCCAGATTTAAAAAAAATAAAATCATATTACGTATGGTTCCCAATATTGCGCCCTATTGATGGCCATTCCCTCTGGTGGCTTGTATTATTACCCCACTGTGATCTTCCTATTAAAACTGGGTTATTAACATACATAAACAACAGCTCTACTTTCGGTGCTGCAGGTAAACTATCACATGACCTGTCAAGTTGTCAGACTTGCGGCGGTCGAGCCAGTTATCAAATATTGAATAGGTGCTTTATAACCAATCATGTTTCTGTGCCTGACCCTTTTATGCCCAATCGAAACTCTCCTCAAAGTTTATTTATCGTCTTCCAATTATATACTGTGGTAAACCGTACCAGTTATTTAGTTTTATTACAAAAGGATATTTTTTGTTCTTGGAAATTCAACTTTTCTAAGTACAGTATCTAAATAATTTCTTTCGTTGTCCTCTCGTAGTTCATTCTTCCAAAGTCACATCTTCACACACCTCACTCTTGAACACTTTACACACACCTCACTATTGAACACTTTATACACCTCACTGTTGAACACTTTATACACACCTCACTGTTGAACACTTTATACACACCTCACTCTTGAACACTTTATACACCTCACTCTTGAACACTTTATACACCTCACTCTTGAACACTTTATACACCTCACTCTTGAACACTTTATACACACCTCACTATTGAACACTTTATATACACCTCACTGTTGAACACTTTATACACACCTCACTGTTGAACACTTTATACACCTCACTGTTGAAAACTTTATACACCTCACTGTTGTACACTTTATATACACCTCACTGTTGAACACTTTATACACCTCACTGTTGAACACTTTATACACCTCACTGTTGTACACTTTATACACCTCACTGTTGAACACTTTATACACACCTCACTATTGAACACTTTATACACCTCACTGTTGAACACTTTATACACCTCACTATTGAACACTTTATACACCTCACTGTTGAACACTTTATACACCTCACTGTTGAACACTTTATACACCTCACTGTTGAACACTTTATACACCTCACTGTTGAACACTTTATACACCTCACTGTTGAACACTTTATACACCTCACTGTTGAACACTTTACACACCTCACTGTTGAACACTTTACACACCTCACTGTTGTACACTTTATACACCTCACTGTTGTACACTTTATACACCTCACTGTTGAACACTTTATACACCTCACTGTTGAACACTTTATACACCTCACTGTTGAACACTTTATACACCTCACTGTTGAACACTTTATACACCTCACTGATGAACACTTTATACACCTCACTGTTGAACACTTTATACACCTCACTGTTGAACACTTTATACACACCTCACTGTTGAACACTTTATACACCTCAACACTTTATACACCTCACTGTTGAACACTTTATACACCTCACTGTTGAACACTTTATACACCTCACTGTTGAACACTTTATACACCTCACTGTTGAACACTTTATACACCTCACTGTTGAACACTTTATACACCTCACTGTTGAACACTTTATACACCTCACTGTTGAACACTTTACACACCTCACTGTTGAACACTTTATACACCTCACTGTTGTACACTTTATACACCTCACTGTTGTACACTTTATACACCTCACTGTTGAACACTTTATACACCTCACTGTTGAACACTTTATACACCTCACTGTTGAACACTTTATACACACCTCACTGTTGAACACTTTATACACCTCACTGTTGTACACTTTATACACCTCACTGTTGTACACTTTATACACCTCACTGTTGTACACTTTATACACCTCACTGTTGAACACTTTACACACCTCACTGTCGTACACTTAATACACACCTCTCTGTCGTACACTTAATACACACCTCCCTGTCGTACACTTAATACACACCTCCCTGTCGTACACTTAATACACACCTCCCTGTCATACACTTAATACACACCTCACTGTCGTACACTTAATACACACCTCCCTGTCGTACACTTAATACACACCTCCCTGTCGTACACTTAACTTCACTATCGTCCACTTCTCACACTTCGCTCGGTATTTTTAAAGTTTCTATCACATTGCCTTGATCTGTCAGGCATATTAGATAGGTTTTATTTCTTTTGTCTCTCTTCATAATTCAAGTTTCTCAAGAAGGGTTAAAATCGCCACCATTGAACGTTTTCCTGTCGTTTCCTCCTCAACAACACAATGTACAGTATGTGAATATGGTAATGAAACTTAGTTCACATACTGATGATGGTCTTATTCTTATGAGTGCCAGATATAAAGACTTGAATATTTCTGCACCCAGCCTGACAGTATACGTGTCCTTATTAGCCTGTATAAATCGGTGTACCTTATTTATCTTTTCTGCTAGATCATCAAATTTTAAAATACTGTCACCCACAACACCAATGTCTTCCTCAGACTGACATACTGTGCAATTCTAATTCATACAGTATTTAATTGGTTTATTATTCTTATACGTATACAGGTATTTATATTTTTAAAGAAGAAATTTTAACAGCCATTTTTCTGACCGACATACCATTTGTCTTTTTTTTAGTTTTACAGTCTTCTGTATGCCTTTTTGGGGGGGCATAGCCAATTATCCATTTATAGGGGTCCCCAACTTACGAATGCCTGCCAATATGAATGGGGTTAAACTTGAAATTTACAGTACGTATTTTATTTACCTAATGACTTATTTTTTACTTTCATTTACTGTATTTTGTCATTCTGTTTCTTCTTTTCTCTTAAATTAAGTGATTTTAGATGTATATAAGGACTTAGGCTATGATATAGAGGGATTTTAAACATTGTTCTGTAAGTATGGTATGCACATAGCATGTGTTCCAACACATACATTTCCGACTTTAGAACGTCCTCAGGAATGGAACCCGTACATAACCCGGGGATCCCCTGTATATAAGTTGCTATAAGCACATAAGATGACACACTTACACCCTATGCTGTGATGCACTGTTCAACTCTTGTAAAGTATCATTATGTTTACAGGTACCGGGCATTGGTATTGTCGTCATTGTTGCTGATCGGCATCGTGCTTTTGTCTATACCCAACGTGCCAGAGAGGTAAGACTATACCTTCAGAATGTACCAGTCATCAAATGTGGCAAGGATTCTTTACTGATTTATGATTAATAACCCCATTGTTGGTTATTCTTCAGTGTTATTTCAACTCTTACAGACTATCACACTGATAAATGATTATAATTTCTTAATTAATGCTTTTCCAATGATTTTTTAACATTACTTAATGATAATAAATAGGAGTGCAGCAGTCAAGTGGATACGGTGCTCACCTCCTGTTTCAGGGGTCAGTGTTCGATTCCCGGGCACTCCCAGTTCACCCAGCTGTAAATGGGTACTTTAGTTTACAACTTGGGGAAGTGAATGCAGTCTAGTGCTGTACCAGCCATGCTACCTCCTTGTGTACCAAAGGCTTAGTATACTGTACAGTGTACTGTATCCACACAGTCCCTAATGGGCAGTCATGTCTATGGGATCCACTTTCACTGACAATAAGTGTAGGGGCACTGTAACAAGTGTCTAATATTTACCTCTGCTGCTCTTTGGGTCCAGCAAATACAAAACAAATAATCACTGATTAATCAGTAATTATTAACACCATGTAAATTGTTGTAATCCAGGTGATACTATGTTTTTCAATAATTTCCTTGGATGATTGTACAGTATTTGCCTTTCAGGAGAGGAGTTAAAAATCTTAGCCTTGTCAATAATGTATTGTTGCTGTTATTCACCTTCTATTTTTCTGGCTAGATATAATTTCATTTTCGATTTTCATCACTGAACAATACCTGATAACAGCAGGAATGATCTATTGAATGTTAATACTGTAGTACTCTGATTGATGTACTGTAAAGTAATATAATTTTCTTACTTTCAGCTTCATTTGACTGGCTCTCAAAGATTCCACAAACAATAATACAGGTATCCCTTGTTTAATGACCGGGATACACTCCTGAAAAAACAATCATTAAGTGAAAATTATTGCGAAATGAGGGATAACGAGAAATAATATCCGTGGAATTGGCATTTAATTGTGTAGCCAAGGTGCTGACTCATCACCCAATAGCACTAAGAGTGGGTGAGGCTTAGCTGTGAACTATGTTATCATTCAACTCATGGTTAGCACACATAGCCGGGGAAGTGGGGGCAGCATGGGGATCTCCCAGCTGTTTGTTGTCTCATGTCCCATGTGGAGTGAAACAATTGCCAAATGACAAAACTAGGTGAAAATACATAGAATTATCTGTTATAATAAACTACAGTTCAGTACAGTTCAGTAAAGTAAAGCAACACTCACCAAGTTCATGTCCGAAGCAGTCATCACATGTCCTCTCTGAACCTGGAGGACTAAGTGCCGGCATGTCTCTCAAGAGTCAGAAAATGAGGCTGGAGAGTCCTCACTGTCTCAGATGGGTAGCAGGCTTGATGCGAGAGTGATGACTATGGTGTCGTTGGCTCTTGCTTTGGCTTGAAGAACTTGGTGATGGGCACCCGACATTATCATAAAATTCACTCACTTAACACCATTTCTCAATAGTACATAGTATATGAACAATCCGTAGTGTATTCAATAACTGGTAAAAGTAATAAAAATAAGGATGATGCACAGCGATTGATAATATACACAGCAATAACAGTGAAGCACAGAAGACAACGATCAAATGACAGGCAATAAACACTAGTAGTACCGTACACAGTGTGGGTGGCTAGGCGGCGCTGTGGGTATCACACACAAATGACAGTAGATGCACACTTGGAGCAGAGAATCCCCAGTTTTTCTTAATTCCCTCCTGATTTTTTTCCAGTGAGTCAAAGATTGCTAAACCAAAAATTGACAATTGTTAAGTGAGGAGTGTTAAAATTTATAAATAGCTAAACCAAAAAATCACTAAGTGAATGATCGTTAAACATGGGATACCTGTATTGCTCTTGCACTTGAGGTGATCTTTACATTCTTTCTCTCCCATAGCATTACTGGCTATAATCTTTTCAACAGTTTTCTGCAGAACCTCTATCTGCTGCATGGCCTGTTCTGATCATCTATCCCTCTGACTCACCTTCTGTGTTCCTGCTGTAACCTAATCATAAGTAAAGTAATATCAGACTCGGTAAATTATGGATTGTTTTCATTTGCCAAAATAGAAGAGCAAGCTTGATGCACCTGTCACTGAGCAGCTTTATTTTTGGAAGAGGGAAGAGTTTAGGAAGTTTACTGCTGTGAATAATATTGAGGATTATCTAGAATATTTATTTATGCTTCCGTTATTGATGATGCCTTATATATTTTGCTTTACTCTGTCTTATTTGCCTACAGTCATCTTACTAGCCAGTCATGGAGTCAGTCAGTTTCCAGTTATGCATGCATTAATGGAAGTTGAGGTTTTAATGCTGTATTCATTCCCATTTTCAGGTTTCTTGGCATTCGTTCTCCAGAAAGAATTCTTGAGTCATTCAACTTTCAACAGAACACCAGCACTAATGAGAGTGAAAGGTCAGCACAACCTGTGGAAAACAAGATACACTTACTCCAAAAAAGACATATCCCTCACAAATTCTGGGCACGGGCTCGTCCCCACAATAAATTTGTAAGAAAAAAAGGGCAACATAACTCACAACATAAGGTTGGTCCTGCTGTTAATGGAGTCAGAGCATTAGGTAAGTCAATGGACACACATCACTGAATCTTAATAGTGTATGCAAGTTTAGAGTTGTCCATTGTAAACAATGCTGTATTGTAACTCCAGTACTTACAAACACTCCACTGAATCTTGATAGTGTATATAGGTTTAAAGTTGTTTCCTCTAAGAAGAAATGACTTAAAAGTACAGTGCAATCAATGCCTGGTTAAAGTGCACAATATGTTTTTGAAAACCTGTATAATAGCCTGATGTATGTTAATTGGAAACTGACTGTACAGTATGTTGAAAAGTCAGTGGCTTATGAGTACAGGACTATACAACAGTAATGCATGTATCTCTCACCACTGTGTCCAGGCCCAGGATAGACTTGGGGACTTTTTAATACCACCTATCAACTTCTAGCCATTTGGGCAGTTGGTCTGTCCAGTGAAACAGGAGGCTGGGAAACCTGTGATGTTTGGTAGGGTCACACTGGATAACACCCTTCAAATGTGTGTCCAGGCTTGAACTCTTGACATATTGGTGAGAGATACATGCATTACTGCTGTACCACCAGCACATCGGTGACCCAACCAAGCATTGCAGGTTTCCTCCTGTATTAACACTGGACAATAAAGTTCACTAAAGCAACAAGAATGGGCCACCCTTCCAAACAGTTTATAAGCTGATAAAGGGTGAAATGATAAATTAAATTAAATAAAATTACATTACTTTAATAAAACATTATGTACGTACCATAGACATTTGGTACTGTATATGTAATACAGTAATGTGAAAAACAAATTTGCTATTCACACAAAAATTAAACAAATTTTCAGTTATCTTTTTATCTTTAATTTACACTTAAATATGAAACTTGCTGTTTGTGCGGGAACAAAATTGTACAGCATTTTGTTCAAGTGACTTAGGACTTAATCCTTTTACATTGTGAGCATAGATAATGTGAAAGAAAGGGGTATATTATGCCTTTTATATTACAGTTCCCATGTACCTGTAGTACAATATTGTTAATTATATCCCATAGAACTTGTAAAAATGGTGGGGTATAAAATAACTTAACCCATAACAAAGTACAGTAGTAACAGTATAGAGTACTGTACCAGTGTAGATATCTGCAAGCTTGTTCAATATAATGTTCATGAAAGCAGACTAGAGATTTGTTATGTTATATAAATCTTCTGTTGCTAAGAATAAAAAAATAGACAAGATACCGTCCAGTACAGTATAGTCTTCATTTACGCGGTCAATTGAACCCGTGGAGGTCCGCGTAAAATGAGAAACGCGTAAACGAAATAACAACATATGGGATTAATTGAAATAGAGACTGGGCCGACCCCCAAACTACACTTTTTCCGACACAATACGTACGTTGTAGTAAAAATAACATCTTAATTTTATGATGGTATGCACACACAATTAATATTTAAAAGAAATATCAATAATATTAGGTTTTTTAACACTTACGTTAGTAGAAAAGATGGCTGGGCACACGGGGATGGGGGGGTTGGTTCCGAGGCAGAGGACAGATTATTGGCCCTCACCTGTATCACTTGTATCACTATCCACCACAGAGGCTTGCAGGGCCTCTTTGTCAAACCCCTCAAAGTCCATATCCTCACTATCACTAACTTGGGCCAGCTGTGGTGGGTGGTGGGTGAAGAACTCGGCAATGTTTTGTTGACTGGGCAACCTTGTGCGCACCCTGCCCGCGCCGCTTCCCGTGTAAATGATGGAATGAACCGTGTAAATAAAAATTGTCGGTCTGGCAAGGTGCCGCGTAAATGACCAATCGCTTAAACCAAATCCGCTTAAATCGAGACTATACTGTATAAGATTATGAGGATCTCGGCTTATAATTTTGGTATATACAGTAGTATTACTGTAAGGGACCATATTCATTTAAGTGAGAATAGCTTTTGTATAGTGAGAAACAGGTGTAAGAATAGAATATCTGTATAAGCAAATATTTGTATAGCGAGGAATACCTGTATTCAGTAGCAGATGGCCAATGACACTACAGTATTTTCTTGATTTAATGAATTCGAGCCACCGTTCGTTAAATTGAAAATTCTGCGAAATTTATTTTTCTGTTATGTTTGCACAATTTACCGAACTACTGTACAGTATTCAGTAGTACAGTGTTGGGTCAGATTATCTGGAGAAACAGAAAAAAAAGAAAATGAATAAATTTCTTGGGTCATAAAACTTTTTTTTTTTATAAATTACCTCCTCAATGCATTTTACAGATTGTTTTTATCTCCTATAGCACCAATATGACAAAATTTCTTGTTTTCTGTAATAAAACTGGTCGGCAGCTGGTCAGTATTCTGCCTCTGAAGAGTACCTAGAATTTACCAAGGTTTTCGACAGTATACCCCATGAAAGGCTGAAATTTAAACTGAAAGGGTACGGAATTCGGACAAATGTCCTAGTGCGGATAGAAGGCTTTCTACATGACCGCAAGCAGTGTACGGTGGTTAATGGCACAAAATCAACATCTGTACCTGTCACAAGCGGAGTACCACAGGGCAGTGGTTTGCAGATGACGCCAAGTTATTTCGGGAAATCAAGAACCAAGCAGACTGTGAAGAGCTGCAAAGGATCTCTGTGAGCTCCAAGAATGGTCAAAGAAATGGCTGCTGTGATTCAATGTCATGAAGTGTAAGAGGATGCACCTGGGGCATACCAATGGTAAGGAGGCGTATCATATGTTCCAACGGGATGAAGAAACTGCATTATTTGAGACTGAAGTTCTCGGGCAATTGTGAGAAGGTAAATCAGGCAAATAAATTATTAGGTCTTAAAAGAAGGTCGTAACGATCTTCAAGAGTGAAGTGCTTCCCCCATCTGGAGTACTGTCACCCCGTCTGGTCCCAAAGATATACTAGGGACTGTCAGTTGATTGAAAATGTTCAAAGGAGGGCCACCAGACTGGTGCCTGCACTTCGGCACCTCAACTACCCTGAGAGATTGGAATGCCTGAACTTGCCTAGCTTATACTACAGACGGGCAAGGGGGCGACCCAATTGAGGTATACTGTATAACCATCTCAAGGGGCACTACTCAGTCAAGTGTCCTTACCTGGAGCTGGCGGATACTCGCCCCACAAGGAGTCACAACTCAAGGCTGAAGAAGCCACAAGCCCAGAAAAACTGTGAGGGGTAACTTTTTTGGAGTGAGAGCTGTGAACTCTTGGAACAATCTGCCAGTGTTGTGACGGTACCGAGTGTGAGCTCTTTCAAGACTAGACTTAACCAACACTGAAGCAGGTTCAGATACATTCAGGAGCCAGTGCATGCCCAGTACTTGCCAACAGTGCGTAACAGAGATGTGACCGATCGGCCAAGTGGCTAACGAGCCTATTGGTGGTGAAGAGGATAAAAGTATAGTAAAGGTATGAACTTTATTACTGTACAACAAAAAAGAAACATTCATTGCCTTCCAATTTCACACCTTAATTTAACTAAACCCTTTTATAAAACATATCATACACAAAATATGGCTTTTCTCAGCTTGCATGGACAGTCTGTTAGGTGCCACATGGGAGACTCAGATATTGTATATTAATAACTGCAATTGAAAAACAAAGCAAATAATTTATTGATATACAGGTATTCACATACCTGCCAATGGGCCATCCACTCCTGTAGCTCGTTGGTGAGAGAAGAAGGAACTGGAAGATCTGCCTACAAAACTTAAGCTTCAGAAAAGTGTCTTCAACATCAAAGCAATTCATAGTGTTAACTGGCAGCAGGGAAAATATTGCTTGGCTCGGATAAGTGTTTTTAGTTTTGAATCTTGTTTTTATCTCAGAGATAGTGTAATTTATGAAAGGGATTGCAACATTTCTTTTGAAATGTTCCTGCTTGGAACTTGCTGCAGCATTAGCCCTGTATCGTTGCCTTCCTGTGATCCTTGGAATTTCATTTGCACTTCCAACAGCATGTCATTTTCTCACAGGCTATGTACCATAAAGTAAACTCTGTGACGAAATTGGACCTTATTTCTTGAAGCCTTGCAGTTGCACTTTGAACCAGTATATAAGCTTGGTATATGTCCTGATCTCATTTTTGCTGCCAGAGATCTATTTACTTCCAACGGGCTTCTCATTGTTTGGAATGCCATGATGTTGGTAGAAGACTTCATGTTGAATAAGAGTCCTTGTATCCTTACCCTGGTATCACGATCCCAAGACCAATCTTCGATCTGATCAACATCAACACCCTCCGTTTGATTCCTTCTGTATATCTTTGGGAATGAGGGTGGATCAATAATGCAATCCAGGGTAAGAGCCACATATGAGTACAGTTCTTGAAAAGTATTAAGGCATGTACAGTGTCTTTCCACCCATTGTGTCTTACACAGTCGTTTAAGTTTGGATACTCGCCTTGAGTCAGTATTCCTCTCCACAACTCGATCCAGCATTCTTTGTCGTTTTGGTGAAAGGTTAAAGAACAAAAATATTTTGTTCAGTAAATCAACAATGTTACGGATGGAAGCAGCCCCGCAAGAAGATGCAAAGCTGAGATTTAACACATGACTAACAATGAGTGTATAATGCAATTGGTACTAGGCTTTTGATTCTGCCATGAACTCCTGCCTTTTCTGTTGACAGGACACTTGCTCCGTCATAGGACTGTGCACGAATTTTGTCTATGTCCAGACCACTCTGCTTCAGTTTAGAAATTATAGCATTAGTTATGCTCTCACCTTTAGCACATTCTAGATAAACAAAATCAATGAAGATTTCCTTGATTTCTGTTTTTATTTGGGCCACAAACCTTAAACAAACTGCCAGCACTTCTTGATTGTCAAATTTATCTGCAACTTCATCTGTGATGATAGAAAGTACTGCATCATCATCCATGAGAGGTTTTATAAGCACAGAAGCAATGTGATCATAATGATTTTGATAATTTAATTTTGCACTGTCTTTGAGGTACATTGGGCATTTTTTCGTGCTTTTACGAAGTGATCTTGCTGTGTTTTATCACTCAGAGAGCAAATCTAGCAGTGCCTGAAGTTCCTCAGCAGTAATTGGGAACCTGGATGCTAATCGATTTGTGGGTCTTGTTCCGGTGTAATGGTTAGCCAGTGTAGTTGGCGAGTTGTCCGGTCTTCTCGGACAATTCCTTGACACTGGGTCATGCAGCTTAACTTAAGGTGTGGTTGTTGTGTTGGCGACAGCTTCTACACCTTGAACAAATTCACGCTGAGGTGACCCTTGGGCCGGCCATCTTCGTTACACGAGGGGCAACGATTAGGTAAACGCGTTACCCATCGCCCCTCAGATCACCCTGAACTAATAATCCGAGGTCAACCGGCGTGGTGAATTACCAGGTCAGGGCATTTATCATGGCACCAACTGTCGAGGTACACCTCGTGAACGGTCAACTGTCGTGACCTAACATAAGTGAGTAGGTGATATAACAAACTTATATATTATATATTATAATTATTCATTTATTTATTTTTGTAAAGGAAAGTTAGTGGAAAATTAATATAGCAATAATATACTTGACGTTAGTTTAATTCTTGTCTTTGAAAGCTCAGTCACTGCTTAGTTTAAAAAATTTATCTTAGAAAATTAATATAAGCTCATAGCCTAATTTTCACACGCCGATGTGTCCAGTAAGGGAGTCTGATGATATATATGAGAAAGCTCCGACTTGGTAACTCAGGGGTTGTGAGAAGCTGGGAGAGGAGAGGGACTGACTTCTGACTTCACTCTCAAGCCGACTCCTCTCTGGGGAATAAAGAAATCTAGGACTACTCCATACCGTCCAGCTGGAAACGGAGTGTGAGAGGTTTCACCTCACAATGCACCAATTGTTGCAAACACTGTCAGTCGAGCAAAAGAGACATTGGGCAAAGCATCTAGGAATGGTAACGCCATCTATAATAAGACTCCTAACTCGACCACTGGGTTCTCCCCTCACACTTTGATTTTCGGTATCAATCCAAGACCAGACCCCCTGGACAGTATGTAGCTTGTTTTGGTAGCTGGCAGAGCGAGCCAGGCATTGGGTTGGGTTTTTCATTGACCAAATCGAGAGTGGGAGGAAGGGTGAAACATCAATTCTGACTTAACTAATTTATTTCTTAACCAAAACATATGGCATCCAGTCACACTACAAAAATGGTTGGCCTTCATCAAAATAACTACTACTAGCAGAAACGGCTCTTTCACTAGGACTACCTACCTACCTTCCTTGTTAGAATGGACAGCCTAGAAAAGTTAAGAGATCAAAGAAACGTAAGCTGTAATGAGAGAGAGCATAAGGATAAAATTAGCTATAATACGTGGGATGGGATACGACTTTTCAACCTGTGTGGTATAACGGATGGAGGTTATATGCAGAGAAAAGTAAGCCATAATGAAAGAGAACCTAAGAATCAAAATTGCTGTAAATCATAGGAGGGAATATGACTTTTCTACATGTGCGCGTCCGGGCTGACCGTTAGTCTCTTTTTCTCTCAGGTTTGTAGGGTCGGGTTGGGTGTGTCGGATCAGGTTGATTGGAGTTTTTTGAGATCCCCACATGACACTTGCTATCCATGCCAAGTTTGGTCCAGATCGGTAAAGTAGTTTCCGAGATTCTCGTGCAGACACACGGACAGACTTCTTTGTTTTATATATACAGTATATATAGATTATGTTTATTACACTTCACACCAGTAGACGACCTCCATCAAATAACTAATATTATCATCTTCATTCTTCATAACAACCATTGACCTCCTTACCTAGGTCATTCCTTCTTACCATAACACCCAACACATCAGACTGCACCATATTACAGCACCACATCTCAGCTACCCTCCACACCCAGAAGTATGGAAATCCTCGGTGCCTCGCTCACACTCTACTCTACTCTCGCTTGGTAGATGGGATACTTCCCAAGCAATCATACCAGTACTGGTTCCACGCCTGGTATCCGTAGGTCGCTCCACGTGGCGACCGCGAAAATTCTCAAACACCCAATCATGTTCTCCTTTCCTGGGTGGTGATGTGTAGGGTTCCCACAGATTTACAGTGAAGGTTGCATAATGGCCATAAGCAGCACACACCACACTCGGTGGGTTCCTCACAGTGGAGGTTGTTAGGCCTACGTGGGTGCGCACCTGTTTTGGTGAGAAGTCGGACGTCACTGTGAGTAATGCCTGAGGGGCTTTTATCACCACACACTATTACAACTCTATTACTTCACTTTATAACATTAGGCAAGGTTTTAAGATGTAAAAATAAGCCGTTTTTTTTAAACAGTTTTTGTGATATAGTCCAGAATGCGAAGTCTAGCTTTATACCTAGGTATGTTAATGCCTAGCAATAACTCCCCAGGCCAATAAACATCTAATAATAATACTTAATACGTAATATTAGGACACGTCGCTACCTGGCATTTAATTGTAATTCTCAAAAACACCTCCCGCACCCTCCCTCACAAGCATTGCTACCGTCATCTTCTTGCCTGGCAAATCAGCTGTAAAAACGCACAAAGGCGGCTTCGCTAATTTGTGTTGTAATAGCTGAAATACTAAGGCCTAGCCTCGTGTTTTCTTGGCGTGGGTATACCCACTTCACTTTAATCCGTATTTAGGGATCCTCCCCTCACACGTTGCAATCATTGAACACATTCATAAGGTCCTCTGATCATTGCACTGTTCGTGGTTGTTCTTCACATGGGTTAACAAAGTGTATTATGCTCACACCGAGGTATACAAGATCTTCTCTTTGAAGCATAGTTTCTGGATCACTTCCAATACCTCACATAGGTCTGATACTTTTATCCTTTTTCCATATCATTGTTCTCATATGTTTTCATCTGATACCTGGGGTAGCTATGTTTACTATCCGTTCCCAGACGTAAATATTATGACCTTCAGACACAGTCTACACACGGTTTCACTTATCCCTTATAGTACACTAGTCTGTATCAATTGGACCTTCCCAATCATCCTATAGATACCTTGAGTTCTCCTTAGTATTATCAGTACATACTCTTAATATTATATGCCCGTACATTGGTACAATTCGTATAAAACAACATACAGTAGGCGAGTTATCCCTTACCAAAGTTTCCCTTTTTTTCCGTTTTCTGAGACTCTACAAGCGCGGTGGATTTAAATGTTATGTAGCGTAATATGAATTAAAGAGATATTAAGGATGACAATGATGTGCGCAGTACACAGTAAGCCCTCGATAACTTATCGAGGTACTTTACCCCCTCATACAAAATACAATAAAAAATTATCGACCCACATTTGTGTACAAGTAATTACTAAATGTAAAAAAGTAACACTTGCCAGCACTGCAGGCAAAGAATGAAGCATCATGGTAGGTGATGCAGGTGGCCAGATATGCCGAGATTTTCCCAAACAATTTTATACATCTCGGCATTTCCCGAGTTATACTATAATACATTCCGAGACCATATCCATGCCGAGTTATATGAAATTCCAAGTTATCGAGGGTTTACTGTATATGTATACAGTACAGGAGGTCCCTGTTATCTTTGGTTTTGCATTTACAAGACCAAATTATTGCTGATCTAAATGTAGAGAGTCCATGCACTTACCAAGGAAAAATATCTGCTATGCCACTACGCATCCCCCAACCCCCATCATGGTCATCCCTCATAGAGTGCAATTTCTTTTATTCGAACTCCTTGGGACCAATGATGGTTCGATTAACTGGACGTGCCTATAAGAACATGCAATATTTAACATTAGGCCAAAATTTGGTTTAGTGGTAGCTTGACTCAGTGGGAAGGGGAAAAACTGGGGATGAGGTGACCTGTTGCCATTATTACATATAATGAAACTAGAAATGTAGCTTTGAAATACAGTACTGTATAGAAACTATAATATAAAACTATGAATTAAGAAAAATGAAGAACATGGGTGCGTATGTGTGGGAACTGAACTGTATGCAAGGAGGCAGTAAGCTGTAACTGCATCAATGACTCGCCTCCCCCACCCAGCCCATGCTCCCACCCGATGTGATGCCACAGCATACACATACACACACATCTCAGACACAGCTGGGTGACTGCCCCCTGTACAGATTGTCTAATCTAATGCAGTTTTCTATTGTTTTTCGTGTGCATTTTTGAAATATCACAGCTATCATTTAGTATCTTGTGGTCCCATTCAAACCCCATTTCCAATATTTCTTATGGCCAGAAATTTCCAGACCCCAATAGCATCATTGGATAATGAGGACCCCTATATATTGAACACACAAACACTCAGACTATTGAAAGACAGATAACTTTATTTATTTTCATTATTAAAACAGATTACATAGGCAGGTATTTTTCTACAGCCTAAGATTTCCTTATTAAAGTACATCCAGTATAAAGTTGGAATGTACAGTACTATATACTTAATATTAAAGTTGAAAAAATAAAGTGCTCTTGTCAAGAATCAATCACTAAATAGACAAAGACTATATAATATAAAGATAACATAGCTACAAACTGTGTCATAATAATTATAAAAGACTGTAGATACACAATGCATTTCATCTCACGAATTAAATCAATACAAATCATAATGAATCCAATTTACAAAGGTTATACTCACTGTGTCCACCCCCTCCTTCCCTGAAGTGAAAACATATATATAGTATGATAAAATTGTTTCACTTCATTAATGAGTAATTCCCATGTAAGACATGCATCATCCTAAAGTTGTAAGAACTCACAAAATAATACAATAGATGAAAAATGAACCTTTTGAATTACACTTTAAAATATGAGCAATCCAAGTACAGTTCACTCCAACATTAAAAATTAGAACTAATACTTACAAATACACTAATTTGGGTGCTACAGCTGTAACACTTAAAACAGCCAAATATCGATTCACACACTGCCTTGTGCAAACTAAGTAGTTACAGTATTTCATTTAAAACATTTGTTTCATATTCATACACTTGATTGTTACTTTCAGACTGAAATAAAAGATAATTGTGAAGAAAAATCTTCCCATGCATATTAAAGATGGATGTCACTAAAGTATTATCACTGAACAATGCAACTGCCTCATCGTCTTTGGGCCACAATACACAAGAGCTGAGAGAGTTTGCTGTTAAATTCTCTGTCCATTTGCGCCCTGTAAAATGTTGTTATAATTTTCTCCTTGAGTTCAGAGAGACTAGGGATTGCAGAACAAGATGGCACATTCAAGAGTGTAGAGAAAACCAACAACCAGAGGTCCTTTTGCCAGTACCTGTAAGACAATGATTATATTAATGCATAGAATGTACAGTCACAATCCAAAGTTTCGACAACCCCCTGGCTGGGTGTTCGCCAAGGCCAGGGTTGAGGTAAGGCTGGGTGATCGGACGCAGGCATTCCACCACCACAACACTCCGAGACTCATGGCACAGGAGCACAGGAAGGAACTTATTACGATCTTTGACATTGCATGAACTTGCATAACAAATGCATCCATAACATTGTTGCCACACATAACAATAACATGTTAAGATTGGAGCATGAAAAACTTTGCCCGGTTCCAAAACAATGGCTTGGAACCACTAGACGAGAGTCCTCGTATTACACATGAATCATCAGGGCAGCATATATAAAGGGTGGCCAGCAGCCGAATTTCGTCAAGAGGGAGTGAGCGGTCAGTCGACAAGGTGAGGCCTTTACATGTACAGTATAGATATTACCATAACCCTGGAAATATTATGGTTTCACACATACTGTACTAGGAATTCCTATAGTAATGTTTACAATATTTAATGGTGTATCAGTAACTACATTGGAGTATTTTGGCTTGGAGTGTTGCAATTCACATTAGTCATGGTATCACCCAAACAATTTTTGTCTGGTCTGGATCAGCGACTTTGCCGAAGACCTCGACCCTCAGCATAGATGCCTGGCCGTGTGTCATCATTAGTGACTACTTCTTGGTCACTTGCCTTGTTTCCTGTCTACTGCTGCCTTTAGTTTTTAAATTTCACTTCATAATGTCTCGGATTATGAGAGTTATGGTACAGAGGTCACCAATATTACAACTAGTTAAACATATGATTATTTTTTATTTTTCACCTGAATGATAAATATCTATGACGTCCTAATCATGGTGTTTGGTAACTTGGAGCTAATTTCCGACATGATACTTTTAGTCCATCAACATGTGTTGTTTATCAATATTCATATTTCATAACTGGGTCGAGAACAGCCCAAGTTTCTCATGCCTCACTCCTAACTTGCTATTGTTGTGTGCCAATAATGTTATGAATTAAATTTTTATATGCAGGTGCATGTCATGCCAAAATTTGTAAAAATTTCCTTCTATGCTCGTGTGCTGTGTTGTGGTGGTGGAATGTCTGTGTCCGATCACCCAGCTTTACCTCAACTCTGGCCTCGGTGAACACCCAGCCAGGGGGGTGTCGAAACTTTGGATTGTGACTGTACATAGACTATTTTTTTTTATCTTTGAAGTTCTTCCACCTAGTCTCAATTCATTCATTTATTCTTACTGCTATAGTAGATATGTTCTACTATGGTGTTCCACTTCCACAACACGGTATCACTTGCCAGCTGCAAGTCCTTCCCCAAACACTCACTTGATGCCTTGCTCTCCACCCAGTCATACACAATGCTGCTTCCTAAGTATCCATCCCTTTACCTTCAAGTTTATCCTTCACCCTATCATGCCGTCTATACCTTGGTCTTCCCTTTAACCTCCTTCCATCTCTCTCTAAATCACAGTATAAATTACAACAATATACTCTTATCACATTCCATTCTCTCAATATGTTCATACCCAGAGACCTCATCTATAACGCTAAACACTTTTTCAATTCTACATCACTATCTCTGTCTTTCTATTCTCTGCATCATTTTGACTCCTATAGTTGCTTTCAAGCATGTCATTACTGTCTAATTTGCTCCTTGCTCTTTATACCCTGATTCATGCTTCAGTTGAAATTCTGTCCCTCTGTATATTTCCACCTCTGCCTCTTTGGATACACTTCTCCCTTCCTAGCATATGTTAATGAACTGATTAGTTTTCCCTCTGCTACTCCATAGCTCATTTCATCTCTCATTATCCTAACTGCTGACATGTCCACTCCCACACATCATGCTTTCAAAACAACAAACCAAAATTCCTTGTGACAGACTGTCACTAGAAGTGACCTGTAAAGTTGAATTCATAAATGGCAAAAAAATTACATCCAATGCTGTTTCTTAAGGTCAGAACCTCCCAATTTTAATGTATCCAAAAAATGTAGAAAAAATGACACAAAACATGAATATGTACCTTTTAATAGTAACACCCTTGAGGTCCCATTGGCCGTTTGATTTCTTATGTACATCCATGTATGTTCCAAACAAGAAACAGTGTGCTATGGCTGCAGCTCCATATAAATCTGTCTGGTAGGTCCATGGCAGTCCATCCCTCATTTCACAGCATGTAAAACCTTCTGTTGTCACCTGCAGAATGAATGATGTTCTATGTATTTTTGTAAGTAGGGCATAAATATGTATATAATTATAACAATTTCAATGGATGGCTGTCTAAACAAGAATGTTAGGCATAAATTGATCTTCCATATATATATATATATATATATATATATATATATATATATATATATATATATATATATATATATATATATATATATATATATATATATATATATATATATATATATATATATATATAATAATAATAATAATCACATGAAATGTTTATTGAAAGAGCTAAGGCCAGAAGGCTGAAAATACAGTTTACAATACAGTGACACATGTATGCATGCATATATATATATATATATATATATATATATATATATATATATATATATATATATATATATATATATATATATATGCATACATACATATGCATGGTTGTAATTGTAATCCCATTCCCCAAATATATATATATATATATATATATATATATATATATATATATATATATATATATATATATATATATATATATATATATATATATATATATATATGGTCCCTTGGTTAACGAGCACAATTCGTTCAAGAAGGTTGCTCGTTATCCGAAAAATTCGTTAACCGAATCCATTGTTTCAATGGGTTTTGGGGTAATTGGTTCCAGCTCATCGAAAATTACATACAAACTACAAATAAATGCAGTAAAGTACACTTACTTTGAGGTGTGCATGTAGAAGGCTCCTGGTTGATGATGATAATGGGAAATAGAATGGGGGGTGGAGGAGAAGGGATAAGAGAAGACATTGGAGTGGAAGAGAAGTCACCCCAGGCTGCCATCTCACCCATAAAATTTTAGTTCACTTGGTGTAATTCAAGATTATTTTCTTTAAATCAACACTGCACTGCACTATATATTATCAATATGTAAAATATATTTCAAAATGAACAATAATTTGACTGGAAACACAGAAAAAAAGCATTTATGTTGAAGTCTCAAACAAGATGTTCCTTCCTCTGAACTGGTAAACAAACTGACGCCAAGCTTGGTGTGTTGAGTGGCTGTTTGGCGAGCAAAAAACTAGTTTCCTGTACTTCAATTATGTTCAATAATTGTTAAAATGACTAAAAAATTTAATATAAAACTTTTAAAATTATTGAATAGTACAACCTTCTTGACATTTACCAAAATGGTAAGGAATTTAAGCCCTAAAACCGATTACTGTATTGGCGGACTAATACTACAGCTGGTGGGCAGCCAAATGCAGGCGAAAACATGTTGGGAAAAATTCGTAAGGAATTCGTTAACCGAGGGTTTGCTCGTTAACCGAAGTGAAGAATCTTATGGAAGGTAATTCGTGAACCGAAATTTCGTTAACCGAGGGATCACTGTATAAATAAGTAAGTAAGTAAGTAAGTAAGTAAGTAAGTAAATAAATAAATATATAAATAAATAAATAAATAAATAAATAAATAAATATATAAACAATAACAAATAACAATAAATATATATATATATATATATATATATATATATATATATATATATATATATATATATATATATATATATATATATATATATATATATATATATATATATATATATATATATATATATAATGAGAAGACACCGCTATATTTTTCCTATGGCAGTGCTTCTATCAGTCACTGAGGCCAATCAGTGTATAACCAGACTGTATACATACAATAAAGAAAGTGGTATTTCACTGAGGTTGCCAGTTTGGGAAAACATTGCAATGTGGTTATAAAAATAACACATTGCCAATAAATCTCAAACAAGGTTTGTCGGCCTGAATGTCACATCAAATTGTTGTACCCACCACACAGCTCACCTCTTCAGTAAAAGTTGTTCCTTCAGGAAACCTCATCATGTCAATACTTCTTCCAAAATCAATAAGCTTGAGTGAGACTGGACAATCATAAAAATCTCATTAGCTTTATTGAGAAGCATAATCATTCGAGAAGGAGAAAAATTGGCATTACACCTGCATGGATGGAAATACACACCTCAGGCATGGACTGGCCTGCAGCAGTAAATAATTAATTAACATTCATGAATATGCATAAATAAGAATACTAAATCTATTCCTGCTGGCAACATATAGTGAAGCGGATATATTGCTCATACAAAACTGCCAACAAACACTAGTTGCCACAATGAATCTGATATTGACACTGGTAGCAGGAGTATATGCTGTGAACACTGTTTGTAGTTTCAAAGTTATGAATGCCAACAGTTGAAAATTGAATCTGAATGAAGTTATTGCCTAAATTAATGTCAGTGATAGTATGAATATCAATGTAAGGATGAGAATCATCCAGGGGCCTGCTGTATCGATTTATCATGATTACCTTTTAAATATAAAATAAAATTGGCTTTGTTATTTTTATTGATAAAATTCAACCATAAAATGAAGCATTAAGATTAATAGTAAATATGTATTAAAAACATTAGATGCAGTCCCCCCCCCAAAAAAAGTATTGTTACCCAAGGGGTCTATGTCGTTCATGGTGTTGTGAGCAGTGTTAGTCCACACGAACGGTTGGTAGTCATCCATAGGTACAGTATTGGTATTCACCATTATGTATGTGGATCAAAATATACTGTAACACTTTTGTGCAAAGAACTGCTGGAATTTCAGAATGACCAGTAATTTAAGTTTTATTCTTGCAGATACAGTACTTTATAAATACTTAAAATGTGTACTGTACAGTGTATAGTATTTGAATATGGGGAACAGGCATACCATTACAGTATATGATGATGCACTGGAGGATATTTCAAAGCATTTCCATCCAGTGTTTCAAATTGTAAGAAGGAAAAAGTAACAATGCCATTTTTGGGGGACTGTACATTACACTAGTACTGTACATGTACAATAATTTTTCACTTAAAATTTCAATTTATAATAATTACTTACCCATTCATAACATCCAATAATGATCCATATTTGTGATACTGATTGACAAGTATTGAGCCGTTCGAGAAGAAGTATCCCCTATTTATCCTCATGACAGAGTCCAACATGTTTACTGGGTAAGCCTTTGACTTAAGACGCTGCCTTAGTTCATGGCAGATGAAGAACTCCCACGGGCATGGTGGTTTCTGTACCTTCAAGATCATCTGTATGGAAATAAATAAAAACAAATCTTCAGTACTAAAAAAATTAATTTGAGGAATAAAAGATTCTCTAATTGGTTCAAAGTCAAAATCAGATTTGCAGTAAGTACTGTAATGCAACGAAGAACAGGTGAAGCCTTGAGTGCTAATTAATAAAAGAGTCAGTGTGTGCTAAACCAAAAATTTACGCAAGTATGGAAGGGTTTTCTCTTTGTTTCTAAGCCCATTCCCGGCACTTTCCACACACTAGCCTTGCCCAACTCTCCATACATTTAACTTCCCATAAGTAGGACAGAAGAGAGAAAAGAAGGACAGGAAAGAGAAGGAAGGGAAAGTATCTCTCTTTCTCTCAAGAAAGTGTAGTGAACTTTTCTGTAAGTGTAACATCGATATAACACGAGATAGATTCCAAGAAAGGTAGCTTTAAACTGAATTCGCACTAAATCGAAGTGTTGTGTCAATGGAGTAATTTAGTTTGGTACTTGAGAGAAACACAAAATACTGTACTAAAAAGACTGAGAGTCTACCCAGATGCACCTCAGCCCATCTAGAATAAACAAAACATTGTTTTTTGTAGTATTATGTTAAAACAAACACTCATATATCAACACAGCTAAAATTATGGGAAGTGAAATGGTCTGCTTACTAGCTGGGAATATGGGGGGAGGGAGGGAGGAGAGGCAATATGTTTGACAGTTGATGCCAAGGTCTAGTGCTTATTTATTTATCTGTCCTTAAGAGTGACTAAGTTTTTCTCTTACAAAATGTCACTGAACTGACATGGGAGAATATAATTAACATTGCTAGAATTCTTATAAGATAGTGATTAATTTGACTTAAACATGCTATAGCTCGCATTAGAAATACAAATTTTATTTCTAATTTAAGAATTTTATTACAAAGAGCAAAATTTTTTATCTCTTGCGCAAAATATATGACGTTTATATTCAAATTATTCGCTGTCTTGCAAGGATTCCAGCAATACAAATTATATTCTCCTAACTTTAGTCTGTGACATTATATAAGATAAAAACTTTAAAACACCAAACCCTGGCAAGGAAGAGGAGGGGGGGGGAGAGAGAGAGAGAGAGAGAGAAGTGACAGTGACATGCTTGACAGTTGGCACAAAAGGCCCAGTGAAGTACAGGTATTTATTTGTTTATTTATGTCCTTTAGCTTGAGTTTATGTTTTTTTCTTATAAAATGTCACAGAAGTGACCAGGGAGATTATAATTTACATTGCTGGAATTCTTATAAGATAGTGATTAATTTGAATATAAACATGCTATAGTTCGCACTAGACAAAAATTTTAGAAATCATTTAGTACATTATTTTCAGTACATGTACAGTACAGCTTTGCCCTTAGGACAGTGTAGCGTGCCCGGAGAAACATTAGGCGCAAAATTTTAAATATGATGCGCCAGATTGACTAGCGCAAAATAGAAAAGATTCGCTTTAAATTAAAACATTGTCCTTAATTGTGGGTGTCGCTTTAAATCAATAATCTTAAATTGAATTGCTTTAAATCGACGTTCTACTGTATAAAGGTAAACCTAGCACAGCTCAACTGATCCATTCATGAAAGGGTGGGGTTGATGGTGCTAAGAGGAGGCTGGGGAATCCATGTGATCTCTTGTAGTAACTTCATATTAATATAAAAAATTTCTATCAATTTTGTGTGAATTTTTAGCCTGTACAATACTGGCAAATTCTGAGATTTAATTGTAATATGTTACTGAAAATGTGGTCGAACCTTGAACTGTCAAACTGACTTTCCCCACAAGAAATTTTGTAATTCCGACTGATATGCAATGTAGCCCCCCACAGTACAGTACAGTGAGTTCTGCTATAACGCGTGTTTTGATAACGCGAATTTGATCGAACGCGATTTATGAATTCGGAACAATATTTGTATAACGCGAACTCGTTTGCTCTAACGCGATTCCACTCGAACGGTTGTTGTGACTTCAGTTCACGTTCGACATCACATGTTCAATTGAGTTATGTGTTTTGTTTGTGAACAATTGCAGAAATAATGTATGTAATATTTATGTATACAGTATACCTATATATTATAAGTAAATTGTAAAATTTTACATAAGAGAAAATCAAATTACATAGCGTTTTACACCCACGCTCTCTTTACATCATACACAGTGTTTACAGTTTACGTTTGACATCACATATTCAATTGATTTATGTGTTTTGTTTGTGAAGAATTGCAGAAATAATTTATGTAATATTTATGTATACAGTAAACCACTCACAAGGTCCTACAGTACCACTAATTATTTTATACTGAAACTTACGTTTGGGAAGCTGGATTAAAATGAAGATTACCGGTATATTAAAATAATAAAAATGTATTATAAACCAGTCTAACATACCGTAATAAACACAGCTGCTATTATCATCCACCCCCCCCACCCCCATTTGCCAGTGACAAGAAAGGGAAAGTGACCTTGACTGTGACCGCCTGTGGCTATTTTTAGCCGTCCTTGTGTTCGGAGGTGGTCAGTAATGCATATCTGTATATTTACTGATCAATATATTTATCTCCTATAAATAATTCATTTAAAATTTATTTTTTTGCAAAGAATATTCAGTAAATGACTGCATTAATTCTTGAAACTACCTACAGTGGTAAATTTAGGATATAAATAATGAACAGAAGTCACGTCATGGATTCGGAGTTTGGTCCTTAACGATCACCATAAATGTAGCCTCCCTTTGTCGCGAAACACGTATATAAATTAAAGAAAATACTTGCAGTATATTTAATATATTACAGTATATTATATATAAATAAATAAACAAATAAATTCAAATTCCCTTATCATCCTGTGTCATATACAGAAATACTTGAGTCCCTGAGCGAGTACACAAAAAGAAAACGGACATCCTGGAGTGGATAGAGAACGGACATCTCTACTGGGGGACTCAAACGTTTCTCATGTTTTGTGGGCGCTCTAGCATAATATGAATAATATGTAAATTACAATTTACTTATACAGGTATATATATATATGTAAATTGTAAAAATTTAAATAAAAGAAAAACTAAATACGTAGCATTTAAAGTGTACTGTACAGTATGTACAGTGCTGTGGCTTGGCGCGGGGTTATGCAGTGTTTACAGTTCACGTTTGACATCACATGTTCAATTGATTTATGTGTTTTGTTTGTGAACAATTGCAGAAATAATTTATGTAATATTTATGTATACAGTATACCTGTACAGTATATGTAAAATGTAAAATTTTAACTAAGAGAGAAAAACAAAATACGTAGCGTTTTAGACCTGCGCTCTCTTTACTCCACACGTTCACTTTGCTAGACGTGAGAAATTTTTAAGCGTCCTCAGTGCTTTCTGATTTACTGTTTCCCCAATTTTGTGACTATGGAAAAGAAGAATATCTCCGGGAAGCATTCTGGTGATCGCATTTCTGGTGGTGATCGTAAAAGAAAGGCTATAACACTTGAAGGCAAGCTTGATGTTGTCAAGCGTTTTGAAAATAAGGAAAGAACATGTGATATTGTGCGTGCAACGGGAATAAAGGAGTCTACTTTGCGCACCATTAGAGCCAATGCAGCAAAGATTAAAGCAAGCTGTGTTGCTGGAAAAACCAAGAGAGCTAGCAAAAGTGTAAGATCACGGCCAAAGGAACTTGAGGAGATGGAATGGCTTCTAAGTGTTTGGATAGAAGATCAAACGAAAAAGCGATCTGGGACCAGCTTCCTCACCATTAAAGAGAAAGCCTTGTCAATATATGAGGACCTAAAGAAAAAAGCTGAAAATCCTGATGATGTGGTTGCCTTTAGTGCAAACATTAGACGTCTTTTTTAAGTCAACCCCCAAGAAGCAGACTGAAGACACTGAACCACAGCCATCCACTTCTGGAATTAGACGTTTTTTTCTTCCCTCCCATGCATCCAAAACTGCACCTGATGATGATGATACTGATGATGACGATGACAATTGTCAAATCCTGTCTGCATGACTCCTCAACCTCAACATTAACCTTCTCCCCCATCAAGTTAAATTCATATTTTTTCAAGGTAAAGTGTAACATTTACTGTATGATTTCATTATTAGATATGAATGTAACATTTATTTAGACTGTGCTATCCTTTGTGTTAGGCTAACTACGAAATTTTTTTTCGATTTGGAGTAATCTGCACCTAACCCTATTTTCTCCATAAGCCCTGTTATTTCTATTACGCGATTTTCTATAACACGATATTTTACAAGAACACAATTATCGCGTTATAGCAGAACTACCTGTACACAATGCATATTACTGTAGAGAAAATATTGATATGATACTCACCACAAATTTTCTCACTTCCTATGTGGCCAACTGTACATTAGCAAACAAACATTAACAACTCATTGAAGTAAAGTACTATACTGTACTTCTTTATTACAAAAATGTTAAGAATCTTGAGTGAGAAAAATTCATCCTTCACACATGGAAGAAGACAGAGTATGACTTGTATTGCAGTATGACTATGAAAATCATTAAATACACTATTAATCTTCACTTATCTCACATACCTGTTTCTCATCATCTTCATTTTCATCATCCTCCTCCTCCTCAGTGGGCATTATTGTGACATTCATTGGGTCTATTGTGGATGCTTGGTACACCTTTGCATAAGCTCCCTCACCTCTGATACGACGAACATGGAACATCTCACTTCCCAAAGTAATCTAAATAGATAATATATATTAAATACTGTACACAGATAGCAATTAAAAACTTAAGAAAATATTATAATACACACACTGGTGAAAAAGAATTCTGCATCCACAATGAAAGCTACAAGAATATTCCTAACCATTTGTCACATTACTCAGCTCACTGCAACCCTCACCAAGATATACAAACCTGAGGAATGCTGTTTTATCTATTGTACATAGAACCTGAATAAGAATATTTGCAAAATTCAGCTTCATACAAAATGGATAACTTAGAGGCTAAGATGTGTACTAAATTCTTCATTTTTAACTCAAAATGAAAAACCATATTAACTAATACACAACTCCTAACAAGATCCACCAATCAACATTTTTTCTTTTAATATTACCCATAAAACATTTAATGTGTATTCTTGTTTTCTTATCCTCTCAAGTATTGCCAACTCCATCAAAAAATCAAGTGGTGTTTGTTTAATGAGAGGTAATAAGATATAAAAAGAAAACGCATAGACCAATACCGACATCATCTATTTTCTTAAACTGATCCAAAGAATATATAATGTGCAATACAGTAAACCCTTATTATTCGCAGGGGTTAGGTTCCAAGGAATGGCGTAAATAGGCAAAACCGCAAATAGCAACTTACACTATCTTAGTGCTCTACTGTATACCTACACCAAACAACCGACCAGCTGCGGCAGCACTCCTCCCCTATTAACTTTTCTAATAATTCAACTTTCTTCGTCAGGGTCATCACTTACTTCTGCCTTTTAAATTTCACTCCACCAGCACTGACACTAGGCAGTCATTTAGGGGCCATTTCACACAGAAACACTAAATGTTTGAGAGTACAACACGAGATATAATAATAATACTGGTAATAATTAACGGTTTATTAAGATAACATGGCAGCCCGAAGGCTGAAAATATAAAATGAACAGAGGTGGTAAGTTACATATGATGAAATTGGGATGGATCACCTGACTGACAAAATCTTTCAATACAAAAACATAGTCAACATATAGATTAACTATAGATCTGGTACTGTTGGAGCTGGTCTTGTAAACATTCTTGTGACCTCACTGGATGGCCGTTGCGTTGTACCTGGGTGCTAATCCGCTACCTCACTACAGCTGCAGACCAGGAAGGTCCTTCAGCTCACACAGGGTGTTGGAGATGGTTCTTGTTCCTCATGTGATGTAGTCAGGAATTCATAGTTCCTCACCTGGGTGGAATTGGGAGTCCTCATTTCTCTCCTGATGTAGTTTGGAGTCTTTCTTAGCTTTTCATCCAGTGTTGGGGGTGGTGAGTGTACAGCGGATGCTGGGTGTGTCAGATCCGCGTCAGGTCAACATTGACCGCTAAGCACTGATTGTCACTCTAACAGTTGTTTCTTTCTTTCGAGTTGAAATTGTCAATTTTGGATATCACTTGTGGGTTGATCATCAGTCTTTGCACTGTACTGTTGGTGGGAGGATGTTGATAAATCCAGATGGGGAAAGGGGAGGGCCTGACAAACCAGGCTGGCAGCTGTCTCCATGGTCAAGAGACCACGGGCAGCGCCGACGTGAACAGAGGGAGAGAAGATGCTGCGGGTGCGTGGGGCCACTCGTGGCACTGTGGGAAAAGGCTTGCAAGCTAGCCACCACGTGTTTACTGCGAATCGCAAACCCGCGAATGGCAAGGGTCTACTGTACATGAATTATCCTTTAAGCGTCACAAAGTTAATGAATAAATCTTCAGTGATTTGTGTGTCATTATCAGTAACAAATGGTGAAATAATCCTTCAATATTGTATAAGAGTCAGAGTTGATTAACTCCATAGTCCATAGGTCTTAAAAAAATAATAAAAGACAAAAACGTTGTTGGTGATTGGAGGGAGGGGGGGGGAGAGAGAGAGAGAGAGAGAGAGAGAGAGAGAGAGAGAGAGAGAGAGAGAGAGAGAGAGAGAGAGCTAGCTAGCTTACAGATACAAGAATTTTTACTCTACCTGAGAGTTGGTTTTAATAAATGGAAGCTTGCCATGGGATGTTACAAATCCACCACGTGCTTCTACAGGTTCCTCCAATTTTGAGAGAACAACCTGTACTATTTCCTCAGCAAAGGGATTTATTTTCTCAGGAAAATTTTGATTATTTTCCTGAAACAAGAATAGTGAAATTAATACTGAGTTGCCCTTTTAAAAATACTTGACAAATTACTGTAACTTCTAAAACGAAAATAAGATGTACAAAAATTACATAAATCATTACTCACAGACAAGAAGCACAAGTACCTGCATTCTTTATATACATTACATTCATTAAGCAAAGAAATACTTAACACATAATTACCAATTTTGGGGGTTAACTAGGTGATACATACAAAATTCAATTAACTAAAATACCACATCATATAATCAATCAAAGTACCATTCTCATATCTGAGGGCTGGCGATCACGAACTGATCGCTATAAGAACAGCCCAGTCCCAACCATTGTAAAAATTATCAATAACTTGTAATAAATCAGTGTACTCACTCCCAGTAAACACTGCTCCTTACACTGTCACTATGTTGAAATGAACTGTAGTTTGAGCCTTTCCCCATCTAGCTATTATATGTCTTATTTGTGTCACTTATGTTACTTGTATATTATTTGTAATTCGTAACCCATTCCCCAAATATGTAACTGTATATTTTCAGCCTTCTGGCTGCCAAGCTCTTTCAATAAACCGTTAATTATTATTATTATTATTATTAAAGGTTTTTGGGCTGTTTTTACCAATCCTCCAAAATTTTGCATCTCTCTGGGACACAGTCTTTAATTTCATCCATGCAATTAGGGTTGGGCTGATAAGTAATTTGGCCGATTACCGATTACTGATTAATCGGCCGATACCGATAAATAGGCATTATTAATTATTTTAAATCTGATTAATCTTCATGAAATTATTGTTACCACAAAATTTAAGACATCACCCTAATGTTACTTTTGACTTAGTTTTGCTGCCCACCTGCCATCTCCTATAGAGGGAACAAATGGTTTTAGTGATTTCCCGCCCATATAAAACCGAGTTTTGCATAGTTGTAACTTGTAATATATCTCATTCTGTACATCCTGGTTGTAATTTGTTATAAATTCCCATTTCTCTTGTTCTTTGTGGCCATTCTAGACGTTAATAGAAATGGTAGTGTGAATAAAATGTCCGCGACCTCACGAGCCATATCCCAACTTCTCAGTAACAGTCTTTGTTGGACCTCAGAGTCTAAATATAATGCCTGAACATACACTTGCAAGAAAACATGACACACCAACACCGTATGATCATCAGCCTTACCCTGATGTATGAATTTTTTTGGCCTATGTAGACTTGTAGTTTGAATGTTGATGTGCTATAATATAAAAATTTAAATATATCCCATTTTGATTGTGATAAAAAGCAATTTTATGTTTTTTTTTTTATTTAGAGCTGCGGCAATATTCATGTTGAATGCTATAAAATAAATTTAAAGTTGAATTTTATGTTACTTTGGTTGATTAACCATGATTGATTCTTTGTTTGACATCAATGGGGTAACAAAGTATTTTTGGTCCAAGTCAGGTAAACCAGACATACACATACAACGTCAGTAAAGTGTTGGAAAGTAAAAGAGTTTTTTATTGTTTATGCAAAAAAAAAAAAAAAAAATTGCCTTTCATTGTTTTCTATCTGTCTATATTTTTAATATGTTCCACCATATGGGAAACAAAGTAAAAATAGGAGAGCATGAAATAAATATAAATAATGTAACTTCAGTAATACACATTTATATAGGAACGTTCTAGAAATAAAAGCTTTGGAGAGGCATCAGAGTTTTGGCTAGATCACCAGACTGACATTAATACCTATACCAGTAAATATGAAATTACAGAGATAAACTTCAACTAATCAGCCCGATTAATCGGTCAAAAGGTCGATTACCAATTGATCAGCGAATTGACCAATTAAGCTGATTACCGATTAACTACAGATTAATCGGTCCAACCATACATCCAATCCAATCTGTGCTTTCCCATGGTCCTCTTATCCTAAACTTAGCACATTAAATGATTTTGAAAAAGTGTATATGAGGCAAAACACATTAAATATATAGTACAGTAAACCCTCGAAGATCCGGACCCGGAAAATCCAGATTTCAGAAGATCTGGACAAAAAATTTGGGGGTTCTGGGCTATGAACCCTTCTAGAAGTTTCCCTTACAAACATTCCCAAACCAGACCAAAGAACATTTTAGGTCCGTGGGCGCTGCTTGACCTGTCAGTTGCTTGAACACAGGTGCCCGAGGAGGTGGGAAACATAAACAGAGTTGACAATTGTTGTTTGCGGGAATATCATTTCATTCACTCTAGTAATGATACAATGTTTCTTATTATGTTATCATAGGTAAATGCAAGGTTTAAATATGGTAATTTCCTTTACCTGTATTGTAAATGTGTTTGTGTGTGTGTGTGTGTAGACACACACACACAAAACACATATTGGAAAATCCTCTCACAAATAATCATTAACAAATTTAAAGAAAATGTGACAGTACTGTATACCCCCAAATCCGTCCTCGATTTAATAAAGTAATAGAGCACAGATTTATGGGTAGACTGTCACATTTTTAATAAATTTGTTTCTGATTATTTGTTTGAGTATTTTCCCATTACTATTTGTATGTGTTTTGTGTGTGTGTGTGTGTGTTACACACACACACACAAAATAGGCCCCCCCCCCCTGTACTGTAATTTTGGTGTTTCTTATATCAAATCGCCAGAAAATCAGGACAATCGGCTTTTCCGGATAGGTGGTCCCCCCCTTTTAGTCCAGATCTTCGAGGGTTCACTGTATATATGTATTGGAAAAAAAGTATTAATGAAGGAGATTTTACTAATTATAAACAAAGACTTTACTGGCAACAGAAGGCTGCCATGTTTGTAAATAATGAACTTACTAATTGGTTCAGAGTTAAACAAGATGTAAGACAAGAATTCTTAATGAGAGAAGTTCTAAGTAACAATGAAGAAATAAAAATTAATGGTAAAATAATATAAAGTACAATATATGCTGTGCAGATGATGATGATGTTCTTATCACAGATAGTGAAGGAGTTATAAAAACTGGTAAACAGATTAGTGAAAAAAAGGAGAATATGGGTTACAAGTTAATGCTGTAAAGAACAGAGAACCGATTGTTTCCACGTTGGAAACAAACTCTAAAATAAAAATAATGGCAATGAGCAGGGAGCTTAAACAAGTGGAAAATTTGGTGTACAGTATTTGGGAACTAATTTTAGCTGTGACAGAAAAGCATTTAATAATCTAAAAGACCTAATAAAAAACGACATTAACTTCAATTTGAGAAAAGTGCTGTTGAAAGGCTATACATGTATATTGGTTAGGACTGTTGTATGGGTCAGAAGCGTGGACACTTTCAGCAGACACCAAAATGAGGTTTCAGGCCTTTGAAATGTGGTGTTATAGGTGAATGTTAAAAATAAGTTACACTGACAGAAAAATAAAAGAAAAAGTACTAAGGTTAGCAAAAACTTCAAGAGAAACACTTGAAATCTACAGAAAAAGAAAAAAATTAGATGCTTTGGTCATATAATTAGGGATGAGGGGTTATAACATCATACAGTACAGTGCATGGAGTTAAATAACTGGCACTGCATTGCATTTTGTGATAAAAGATTCCCCAGTGTTACTAAAGTATGTGTAAAATTTCATAATACAGGTTGTACCTCTCTAGTCCGGCAACCTCGGGACCTGACCGGTGCCGGACCATGGAAATTCACCCTTTTCCTGGATAGATAGTGACTTGTGCTTATGCTTGGAAGCACTAGCACCACTTTCTCTGCATCATGGTCTCTTTGAAGACATATTGAAGGGTTAAATGTCGTATAGTAGCTTCTCAAATTTCGTGAGTTTTTAATTCTGAACGTATTTTATTGGAACACAAAAAATAAATAAATAAAAATTTTGACGGAGGAAACTTGAATTTCAACGGGTTTGAACGGCCCGCCAATGTGCAGACGACGTGCATAATCGTGTAAACAGCGTCATTTCTCTTATGTACAAAAGATTCATTATTGTTTATTACTGAATGTTTTTTTTATTGAATTAATGTTTATGTGTGCAAAATGAGCAATACAATTCATTAATAATACATGGAATATTAAAACACACGAGGAAATGACACAGCATTGTTTTCGTTGATTACAAAACCAGTGACTGACTGATTCTACATATAAAACTGAAGAAAATAAGACCTTGGTTGTAGCTGTAGTAAAATTAATATGGTTGTTTTAAGTTATGTTATTTGTTAATAAATGGAACAATAGAAGTAGCTCACGATAATGGTAAAGAAAAAAAGAGAGATCGGGTATGTAAGTGCGCATGCGCACACGTGCAAATATATCGTCATTACTTTACATAAGAATATGAAAGCAACACTTATTTACTGTTCACATATATTTTAATTAATGTTTCTGAATTTGTTTTTATTGAATTAATGTTTGTGTGTGCAAAATTAACAATACAATTTATTAATAATACGTGGAATATTAGAGGAGATGAGATGGCTGCCTGCATTGTTGTTTGAAGTACCTGTAATGTTATTTAATGTTAATAAATGGAACAATATAAGTAGCTAACCATTAATGGAAAAAAGAAAAGTGAGACTGCGCGTATGTAAGTGCGCACATGTGAAAACATATCGTCATTACTCTACATAAGAATATGAGCAACACTTATTTACTGCTCATATATATTGAAGGGTTAAATGTTGTACTCTGTATAGACAAGCAGAGAGAGAGAGAGCAGCCGAACTGCCGGATGTGAACAAACCTTAATTTCCCGTAATATTCCTGTAATAGTAATTCAGAAAAAAAAAAAAAAAAAAAAAAGAGCTGCCTATCTACCTATTGGACAAACTAAAATCGTTCCGGACCACGGGAGTTTCCGGACCACAGAATGCCGGACTAGAGAGGTACAACCTGTAATGTTTGTAATTCACTCATCATTGCATAGAAATTTTGCAGCTCTCATTCACCCCCTGTAATACAGTTGGTCAGAAAAGTGTGGAATGTGAGTAGCTCACCTTTGATGTAAGTAGTATTTTAGGTTCTCTCACATCCAGCTTAGTTGAGTTGGCCATTGGAAGAGGCTTCATGTCATCCATATCCATTAGCATGGCTGCTACTTGATGGGCATCAAATGAAGAAACTTCCTTCTCTTCACTCCAGGGAGCATTCTGTAAATTGCCATGCACATAATATTACATGAAAAATAGATGACACAAATGGGAAATATCAACATCTTTCAGTAAATACTTTAAAATGTTCCTAATTTAAAAAAGAAAAAGTTGTTATACGTGTTTGAGTTATTTTTTGCTGTTTTCTAAAATTGTCTTGCACTTCTCTCCTCTTCCCTTTCTCCCCTGGCTTTAGAGGTGTCAGTGTACCTTGATCCAGCCTGGATGTTAAGGTACTTAAATGTTTAAAAAAGGCAGGCAAATTGGCAAGGCAAACAGTCAAAATAAGCAATTTAAAACCGAAATAGGCATTACTGTTTAAGAAACAGAGAAAATAATTTTTTTAAGTTATTCATCCACGTTAAAATGTTCAGGGGTAAGCAGTGACTTTACACCTTAGCTGACCACCAATTAATTGCCTGGTTTGTATATTTTAGGAGGTAGGGGATAGTTGGACCCAGTGAAATTGCCAGTTAGGAATTTCGAGGCCACCAGTCTGTGTGACTTATAACTTTTTAAGTGGCATGGACTATACATAGGGACAGACTGCTTGAGTAAGGTGTAGATGTAAGACAATCATTGAGGAGATCAAATGCGTTGAAAGTTAAATAATGAAGTATACAGTACTGTACCCTGCCTACCTCGGATACTTAATAATTTTAAAGCATTTGCATCAAGACTGTATTGTAGCCAATGTAATTTTGTTGATTTTTTATTTTCATTTCTCCCATAATAATTTTTCAAATGTGAGAGGTAGGCAAGACTTTAAGAAGTCTGTTTTCCAAAACTCTAGAGGTCCTATCTAATAATTTTGACTTTAGGTTTGTGCTCTGGAATTTTTTTCATCTTACTGACCAACAAGAGGGTTGAATAACTATTTAACTACAGTACAGTATAATTAGCTTGTGCTCTATCTTCCTCTATATTGTACAGTATATCACTTCTCCTTCATATGCAGGAAACGTGTAAATCAGATGACACCATGGGAAAGCCTGATGCTGCATAACTCAACACAATTCGCAGTATACTGTACTTGAAAAGTGGATAAAAATGTCAGAGATGCAGAAAATAATGTACTGTACTGGATTGAATGTGAAATGCACCTGTGAGGCTACAATACCAGGTCTGGAGTCAGCCATACTCTCCCCTCTCGACTTGTCTGCAAGATAGCCTGATTTGGTGAAGTCTCCGGTGTGGGCAGTGACTCCTATTTCAAGGCCACACTGAGGAAAGGGGTAAAAATATTAAACATAGTTTAACATAATGATACAGAAATGAAAGGATGGGAGAGAGAAGAGAAGAAGGGAGGGAGAGAGAAAGAAATATGGACAGATGAGAACTTCATTGAATAACCTTTCTTACATTCCTTTATTTCACATTCTTAACAAGTTTCATAAGAATTCTTTTACATCAGAGAAATAAGTTAGATTGACGGCTCTTTCCAAAAGCTTTAACCCAACATGTGATCTGATACCATCTCCATCTTTTTGGATTGGATGGCTGACTGCCATTCTTACCATCTTTGGGGGATGTGGCTTTGACCTTTTGTTTTTATTTTTATTTTTTCTTAAAAGCACTTAAAATATAAATGAAAGGCATGGCTATTGTTTTTGACATATGGCAGGTACCTCTTGCTGTGTGTTACAGTGCTGGCGAGTGCGACTCATCTGGGTGCTCATGGAGAATCCTCCATGTTGAGAGAGTCCATGAGCTGAATGGCCACCAAGTGTTGTAGAAGTGGTAGAGTATCCTGAACTGCTTGAGGATGATGACCTGAAATTTTATAAATATTGATGTCAACACAATTATGCAAAATAAAAACTGCTGTGTACATGGGCTTATTGAGAAACTTAAGAGGTGTATGTACAGTATACACAGTGTGTACAATCCCTCCTTCATGGAGGAAGAGAAGAGTGATAGTTAGCAATACCTGCTACAGGACAAAGGCAGGCCATCCTGTATCATCATAGCACTATTTGGCCTGCCTGCATCACAAGCACAAGATGACAGCATCTACTATTGAGTACAGTATAGTGTATACAGTAGTGTATTTACAATATATTGTACATATGCAGTGGTGTTTTCATAAATAAATACAGCTCTGTGTCTGTCCATGCGAGTTTCATAGTTTAGACACCTCGGAAAACTTTACCCAATACACGGAAAAATTCCAGGGATGAGAAAATTCATCTACATACCTGGAAATCTCTCAATCGCAGAACTACTCTACTCCAATTATTCTGGCTAACCAGGATATCACTGTACAGGTAAATTTCTATTTATGATGTCCCAATCTGCGATAACTCATGTTAACGATGCTGATATATTAAAACCACTTCTCTATTTGAGATATAAACCAACTCGCATTAACGATATTCGCCATCCCGCCAAGTCAGCATATGGAACTCATCACTCACTTGATTTGTCAGCTGAGGTGACATCTACCCAAATGCCACCTCATGGCCATCTGGTCAACTACAATCAAGGCACTGTTTCTTCTTGGTTACATGTGTGTAGGAAGTGGAGCTCAATGTTTATTGGCCATCATCGTTCTTTTTTTCCCGCATACTTTTTTCTCCTGTACAGTGAGAGGACCACTAAAGTTCATATACTGTAGTACTCTGTTTTAGTAACTGTGAAGTGATTTTATTTTATTTATTTATTTTTATTTTGTACTGAAAAGTACTTTGGCTGTTATTGTGAATATGAGGTGAGCAGAAGCAACCGGTATCATTATTTTTAAGCTATCAGTGTTTTTCCCCTTATAGATACAGGAAGTTACAAAGTTTTCCAGTGTACTGTACTATACTATACAAGTACAATACATGTACTGTACTCAGTTTTAGTGACTGAGGTGATTTCTCTGTTTTAGTGACTGTGAAATGCTTTTGCTCTGTTTTTGTGACAGTGAAGTGGGCAGTGTAATTTTGAAATCTCTGGCAAGCGTTTAACTCACCATCTTTAAGGCCAAGACGAAGGCAAAAAAGCCAGTCCCTACTCTTCAGACTCCCTAAAGTCTATGTATGAACTTAGGTAATAGGCAGCTACCAAACAGGGAGGTACTACCGCCTGGGAAGATATTGGAAGCATAATGTGTTGTCTAATAGTAGACCCTGCTGCCATATGGCGTCAAAAAAATTTAGACCGAGTCCCAGGTTGCTGATCTGACTTTCTGCCTCATTTACACACAATTGCAGGGTCTCTTACTACTGACAACACAACATAAATAACAGTACTCACTCTTGATCTGTTGTATTCTTTCTATTTTTTTTTTATTCTCCTATGATTTCAGTTGACAATAATATTGAAGCAGGGCCTCCTCGGATGGGTCCCACTGGTTGGTAAGGTTGTGGACCCCAGGGCCAACCTGATCATCATCAAACTACTGAGGCCTCAACTGACGTCACCACGGTTGCTGGAGGGTCGGCTTTTTTCACACTTAATTTTTCCAACATTCACGGCCTGAGATCCAATTTTCCTTCTGTGGAGCACCATCTATTAACCTCTTCCCCTGACCTCTTACTACTATCTGAACTTCAACTGACCAAAGCAGCTTCACCCAAACCTTTTCAAGTCTCCAACTACAACCTTTATACCTCTTTCTGTTCTAAGGGAGGTGTATGGGCCTACTGCAACACACGTACACCTATAGCTCAACTCACGGATCTTGAATCTTCTTTTTATGATGTCATCTGGCTCAAAATATCTCTTCCAACCAAGACTATTTTCATTGGTTTCCTATACCTGGAATGACCCAGGTGGAGCTGACGCACTCTCTTTTTGCTTATTTAATGATCTGGAACAATTAAACACCCTACACTCGTTCCTGATCGATACGATCAACTTACTAACATTCTTGATCTTTGTTTTACCTCTAACCCTTCACACTATTCATACTAAATTTTTGCCCCCTTTGGGTCTTCTGATCACAATCTAATTTCTATAAAATCAAACTGTGCACAACCACTTCCCCCACCCCCCTCTAAACACCAACTCTGGCACTATCGGAGGGCAAACTGGCAATCCTTGCAAAAATTCTTTTCCTACTTTCCTTGGGATGAATGTTGCTTTTCCACTTGGGACACCTTGGTATGTGCTGAAAGCATATCTGGGGTTATACATGGTGGTATGAGTGCATTTATCCCATCTTCTACCAAAACTTTCACTTTACAATCATGGTTTGATCACTCCTGTTCTCTTGCATGTAGGGAGAGAGATATGGCATATCAAGTTATGAAACTATCTCCTTCTCCGATTACCTACTCCTCTTTCCCTTTGTAAAAAGAAAACCGCTATCCTGACTAGCTCTTCTAGTAAATCCTTCTGGTCCTTAATCAAAAACATCTGTAATAACTTCTGCACTCCCCAGGCCCCGTTGTGGGTCAATGACCTGTGCCCGGGTGGGCTAATCCCCGTTAAAAAAAAAAAAAAAAAAGAAGAAGAAGAATAACCCTTAGCCTCAAAGGGGGACATGTGATGATGACTAGACTAGTTATTATGATGTGGGGTGGGGTTGTTTAATTGTACAGTGGTCCCTCGGTTAACAAACGGTTTGATGAACGAAATAGCTCTCATAAGGATTTTCAGTTCGATTAACGAACAAAACTTCAATTAACAAAATCCTTGCGACAAACACGTTGTGTTGTGCGCATCAGCTGATCGGCTAGTCTGCCAATACAGTAATTGGTTCTATGTTTACATTCGTTTCCAGTGAAGTAAATATCAAGAAAGTTGGTCTCTTGAATATTTTTGCATTTTTACATTAAAATTATTGGTCATTCTGAAATTTAGTTAACATATTGATAATATACAGTGCAGAAATTAATATGAAACATGAAGAATGCATTAGAAAAATGCACTCTGTAAAGAATATTGCATGTCATCGTCGACTGCCTCTACAATCAGCTGTTTGTTATGTAAACAAAGCTGCTGGTAATATGACATACACACCTCAAAGTAAGTTAAAATACAGTTATTCTATTGTTTTTTATTTATTATTGTACAATACTGTATTTTGTTTATATATAATGTTTTGTTAATTCTATTACTGGTATACAGTACTTTGTATGTACCTTTTCTGTGAGTTGGAACCAATTACCCAATATCCCATTGAAATAATAGATTCGGTTAATGAACGACTCTGTGGAACGAATTGTGTTCATTAACCGAGGGACCACTGTATATTGTATTGCTAGTAGTGTCTGACTGGCCATGTTTATTTAAAGTAGTCAGCATTCATCCCCATCAATTGTGGAAAAATAATATAATGACATACCTGTATTCTCTTGATGCTTCCATAATAGGTGAGAGTTTTACCTCACTTACAGGAGCTGGAAAGGAGGTAGGAGGAAGCTGTTTGACTGGAGGAGGCATCAATTCTTCACTGTCCTCTTTCTGTTTGTCTTCAATAAGAGGAAAGTGGCTGAAGAGAAAAATAAGAAAATAATGATAATACGCTTCTATTAATACCAAGAACATGTAGTGTTGTCTCAACACGACAGCAAAATTTTCTGTGTTCTAGTAACGAGAAAGATTGTATAATATCATTGAATATTTGACAGTACTCTCTTGGCAAGACTTTTTCAAGGTCACTTTTTAGTGTTATTCTGGATATACAGTACTTAAGTAATTAGACATTAAATTTCAATTCTCAAAGAAAAAGTGTTTTTGACCTAAAATTCCATTTCAGCCAAAATCTTGATCTCACCGATTATATTCAAAACCTCAATAAATGTACCCTTGAACACGCTGGGTAATGGTCTGTTGTTCACAGTTTGATATCTGTATAATTACTTGTCCAAATGACATCTCAAAATTTGTAATCACTTTTCTAATGCTAATTACTCGCCACCTATGATTTTTCAGGTAAGGTCATAGGAAGAGCAGAAGACGTGAAATATATTATTTTATATATATTGTGTAAGATGCATCTTATTAAAAAAGTAAAATTACAAGTGTATTATTAAAGTACTGTATTGTATGTATTTTATAAAATATTGAAACTACTGTACTAACTTATTAACTTTCATGACTGCCATAGTGAAGTCATCTCCATTGACTGTGGCTTGTGGAACATGCCCAAGTGACCAAGGGGCTGGAGTGGATGCTGCATTTGCCATTTTTGCAAAAGCCTCAGGATTGTTTGGCATCTTGAGAGTGAAATCTGCAAAACTTACACCATCCAGAGGGACAATGTCATTTAGGTCATCATCCTGCAAATGTATAAAGGACTGTATAATAAATTTCGATTATGAGAAGCTAAAGTAATTATTTTATTCTGGTAAAAAAAAAAAAAAAAAAACATTCTATAGCCAATTTTGTTCTTAAAAAGAGACTGAATAAAGGTAAAATTTGTCAATGCTAAATACTGAGGATAATCAAGGTGCAGCAATCTCTTGACCTTAATGGTGTAGAACCAACAACAGAGGAAAAGTAAGAGAAATCTAGGCACTGGCGACTGAAGAGTGAACTGAATAATAGTGACCAATTTTTGTGGATAAGATAAAAAACATGGACCCATAAGGTGCATTATGATAATTATTCTTTAAGTCAAAGTATGAATGAGTATTGAGTGATTTAAGAATTAAAATATTCTTAGAATCTCTTTTAAAGATAATGAATATACAGGTATAAAGATCATTTGAAGAACTGGAAACAAAGCTTATTGAAATGAGTGTGGCCAAGAGTGTGTGTTTATGCCAGTGAAAAGGCATAACTGCCCATTAGGGACAGCATGGATACAGCACAGTGTATACAAAGCCTTCGGTACACCAGGAGGCAGCATGGCCAGTACTGCACTCTACCGCATTCACTTCCCCAAGTTGAAAACTTAGGTACCCCATTTACAACTGGGTGAAACTGGGAGTGCCCAGGAATTAAACTACGGATCCCCTAGAACTGGAGGCAAGCATTGTATCCACTCGACCGCCATGCATGCTAGTAATGAATGTCAAATTAAAGATTGTGAAACGAATATACAGTCATTTAATTTTTTTTTAGCGACCAGATAATGACTTACAAAGACAAGTTCTTCTTTAGGTCCCTTATCTTCACACAGGATTTCTGACTCTTTCTGTGATTCCTGGTCTTCTAGAGGCAAGAAGGGAATGTCTGCTGCAGGTTGCAAGACACCAGAGACCTGACGATACTCCCTCTGCTGGACCATTCCTGGTGGAGGTCGATTTTCATCTTGGTCCTCAAAATACATATCATTGGGGTCCTGTAATTTAAGACCCTAGAGTAAAGATGACGCACACTTGTAATCTCAAATAGAAACCACAGAAACTTTTAAGGTATTCACACTGATTTAAAATTTCCTTATATTGTACTTTTGTGTGAGTGTGTGTGTGTGTGTGTGTGTGTCTACGTGTAATCATACAGGTATCTAAGTGTATTTTTCAGTATGTGCCTTAAAGTCAAAACATATTTGTTTGTATTTATTAATGTGTGTGAGTGTGTGTCTCTATAAAAGTGTCCCATAAGAATGCTTTACATCCATTTACTTAGGATAATAAACTGAATCGTCAGGTGAAACTAGCATCTTCCTTCACTTTTCCAATCACATAATATGTAAATGACCTGCAATTATTGCCCTGATATCCTTTTCTTGAATATCCCAACCCTTTAGTAGCTCATTCACTATCTTTCTCTATCTGCCTCTCCCTCCTGTACCATGAATAATATCAAAATTTGTCGCCTGTCCATCACATAGCTCCGAGGTCAAATATTATCAACAAGCCATCATACACTCAACATTTTAAGAATTAAATTGAGGTGCACCACCCTCCAACACCTTTAGATAGTACTGTAATACTATCATACCTCTTATAATGAATAAGATATGTTCTTGAGGTTGGTCTGCTAAGTGAAATACTGTATCTGTTAAAAGGCCAATACTACTGTATTACAGGGTGCTAATGGTGATGGGTTTTTGGTAACAGTGAAATTTGTTGAAATGATAAATAAATCTCTTTAAATACTACTATTTTCTTCGAGAATTACTAAATAATAATTAAATGTGCCAAAATAGATCATAAAAATGAGAAAAAAGTTGCAGTTACAGTACTTAGAAATACACAGCTTTTCCACCGCCGGAGCTTCCTGTGTGGTTTACCACCGACCAGCATTGACCTGACGTTTGTTTAACCCGACCCTTCCTACTACGTACTTTTATCTTCACATCCATACTAATGACTTTACTGGACACCTTGGCTAGTTTACCAACATACTCACTTGCAGGCCATTTCCCAGATATAATGGGCATAAATGTTCACAAAACACACGTAGATGGCGAAAATATAAAGACCCACCGTGATACAATGGACACGAATATTGGCGGGTTACTGCATATATTTTGAGACGATCGCTGATTGTCTTAGAGCAGGCATGGGCAACCTTTCCTCAGTCATGGGCCGCATTACGATTTAGCTATTTTTCTGCGGGCCAATATTGTATTAATATTGTATTAGCATGGATAGTGAAGCAGCTTATTGTCACGTCCACCTTATGATATTTTCAGTTTCCAATCAGCCTTTTTCCTATTTATGAAACAAATCCATCATAATTTTTTAAATATTTTAAATGTATTTTGGCATTTAACAGAAAATGAATGAAGCATTCTGTGAATACGTAAATTTTTCCTAGTTACAGCATATACAGCTGGCGATAACACTGCTTATCTGTACCGTTCAAAGAAAATAATTTGTTATGTTATTACTGCACTTCAACAACTGAGGTCTTTAAGTATATAACAAGATTATTAAAAGAATATTATATACAGGCATCCCCCAGGTTACGGAACCCCGGGTTGCGGAATTTCGCTCTTACGGAATTTGTAAATTATGACCAATAATCTCGCGATACGACCCGTAAATCCGCCCTTATGGAAATTGGGGTAAATTTTAACAATTAAAAAAAATCACTATGTAAATTAAAAAACAAATTTTAAATTATAATTTTTGGTGTGGATTTCTTGGTGTTTGCTACCGTCAAGCGTGGCGTCACGCGGAGTCACTCCATTGTTTACATCCAGTGTGCATGCATGTTTCTCGCCCCAGCAGTTGGGTTTAACTTTTACAAACATACAGTAAGTACATTACAGTGCATTACACTTATTCAAGAAGACTGGAAAGAGTCCATCACATGGAAGTAACCGCAGTAGTGCAAAAAGAAGCCACAAAGGCATTACATTGGATATTAAACTTGATGTTTTAAGGTTTGGTGCTGGAGAAAAACTTAGCCAGATTTCAAAAACATTAGGTCTTGCTACTTCAACAGTGGGAGCAATCCGTGAGTACAGTACAATATTTTTATTTATTCCAACTGTATTTCTTTTCATATTACATGTACAGTTGGTCCTCATATTACGCGGTCCCGCATTCCGCGTTTCACCGTTAACGCGGTGCCTTGCCAGAACCTAACATTCTTACATTCCGTGGTCGCGAACGCCATTACGCGGAGAGTGTCCGGCGCGACGCTATTTTTAGATTTTCCCCACGCGCCACCCGCCTGCCTCTCCCTCCTCCTCCCTCCGCTTGGGCAAGCGGCGCGGTAAGGTTGCGCAGTGTGTGTCTTTGTTGCGTTATCACTGACGTCATATGACGTATCAGACCTGTGATTGGCCATGCATCCCTACCCTCCTCTGCTGCTAGCTGTAATTGGCTTAAAGTATTATGACGTGTCCACCCGGGGGAGGGAGGGAGGGAGGAAAGACGACGCTTGACCTAGCCGCGGCAGTTTCATCCCTCAAGGCCACTCCGTGTAAACGCGCATCCATTGTTCCGTAAAATGGCTTCTGCCGGACCACCACCCCCAGAGAAAAACCTTTCCTTACCCGCAACCCACCACAGCCAGTGATAGTGACAGTGAAGTTGACTTTGAGGGATTTGTCAGGGAAGCCCTGACAACTGTAAGTGACAGTGATGATGATTCACCTAGTAATGGTGATTCACCTGAGGGCCAGTAATCTGCCCTCTGCCTCGGAACCAGCCTCCATCCCCGTATGCCGACCCATCTCTTCTACTACCGTAAGTGTTACACAAAATTTTTAGTTTTCTAACTTAACCTTTATTTTTCCTATGTTAACCTTTATCTTTCCTAACCTAACCTCTTCTATATTACTTGTTTTTTCATACCATCATAAAGTTAAGATAAAATTTTTTTACTACAACATAGTTGTGTGTCGTCAAAAAGTGGAGTTTGGGGATCGGCCTGGACTCCATTTCAATTAATCCCATATGTTATGTTGTTCACTTTACGCGTTCCTCACTTTCCGTGGGACCCTCCGGGTTACATTAACCGCGTAATATGAGGACCAACTGTATATCATAAATTATTTAATGTACTGTATTGTATGTGCTTATAAATGTTTATTTTCATTCATAAAAGTGCTTGAATTACTTTTTTGGAGACGAAAAAAAATTCCTTAGGAACGCATCTCCAGTTTTATAATGGAAGTCAATGGGAAAATAGGTTTCGCGTTACGGAATTTCACGATACGGTCAATTTTCCGGGAACGCAACCCTTCCGTAACGCGGGGATGCCTGTATGTATACAGTATATGTATATATATACAGTATTACCCCGCTTTACACGGTTTCACTTTCAGCGAGTTCTCATTTACGCTGTACCTTGCCAGAACCGGACTTTCACCTTCCGCTGTGCATCTACTCATATACGCGGTGAAGTATAATTTTTGTTTTATTATTTTTTATTTAGCTCATAAAATTCATACAAATTACCCTGCCAGAATATAATTTACATTGCTGGAATTCTTACAATATGATGACCATTTTGAATATAAACATCATGGATTTTGCATTAGACATACAAATTTTAGATCTAATGTAATAATTTGGTTTACACAAAGCAAATATTTTATCTTTTGTGCAAAATATATGAAGTTTACATTCAAAACATTCCCTGACCTGCAAGGAATCCAGAAATGTCAATTATATTATCCTAACTTTAGTCTGAGGTATTATTTATTACTAAACGTTAAAAGCTAGTGTTTCACCCAATCATTTCTCAGAGAGGTAGGGGCCAGTGAGCTGGGAAGAGGGGGGGGGGGATTTGAGTCCATTATTTGAATGGACATTAACCTGGCGACTGTATTTCTCTTAAATATTAATTGTGTGAGCATACCATCATAAAATTTAGATGTTATTTTTACTACAACATAGGTATTGTGTCGGAAAAAGTAGAGTTTGGGGGTCGGGCCAGTCTCTTTTGGAATTAATCCCATATGTTCTGTTGTTCACTTTACGCGGTTTTCACTTTCCGCGGTACCCTGTGGGTTCAATTGACCGCGTAAATCGGGGTACTACTGCATGTATGTATGTATGTATGTATGTATGTATGTATGTATGTATGTATGTATATATATATATATATATATATATATATATATATATATATATATATATATATATATATATATATATATATATATATATATATATATATATATATATATATATATATATATATATAAAATGAATGGAAATTTTTTTTTAAACTTACCTTAGCCTGATTGGTATTTTTTCCATCTTGAAAGATACTAAATGGCTGTGAGGGTTTTGTCTTGTCTGTGCCATTGTTGTCTCCAGAATTATCAGTATATATTGAAAAAGCAGCTGTTGTTGTCTCTTTTGACTGTTTATCTTTGTCAATCTCTTCATCCTAACAGAAAACAAAAAAACAAAAACAAATTAGGCTGAATACTACAAAAAAAGTCTTGATATTAAAAAAAAAGTGACAAAAAGAAAAAAATATTGTTTCGACCTTCCCCCTTCACCACTTACCCAGCTTCCACCACTGGTTACCAGCGGCTAGGGTCGTATGTACAGAAGCAGGAGATACCTCACAAGAGTTGTAGAATTACCACTGGCTGTCCCATCAGTCACCAGTTATTTCCCAATGATTGGTATCAGTATACAGACAAACAATAGGCATTTAGATTTCCACCAAGTCACAGAAACACACTTGTGCACTGTAGTCTTCTTTAATAAAACACTAATTATTCACAACACTGTTAATAGGGTAATGTCTTCACAGCTTGACTCCACACTTCCAATATAAAGTCAGCACATTACCAGTGTACAATTCCTTAGTCTTCTCACTTTACATTAATCACAACAATTTCACAATACTTACAAAACAATTGTCTTCAGTTGTTCTACTAGGCTTATTCTTTACACTATGAACAGAGGCTATCAGCTAACTGCCCCTAGGCAGACATTGCCCAATTATATACGCCTCTTCAGACGCTTCTCGAACATCCTAGAATCACCCAGACACATCTGGGAGATTCTAGAATGTTCTACTCTGATCGAGGCTTACAATAATAAGTAAATCAGAACAAAACTAATGCAAAACATTCTGGAATATTCTTATATAATTAATACATCACTATACACAAAAATTTCACTAGAATTGCCAAAATAACTGCTGCTTGGGATAGAAAACAATCAAAACACCAAGTTTACAAAATTATAATGCAAAATTACGTCTCGGCATACTATACTAAAATTAAGAAAAAATGGATGTAATAGTATAACACACAATAATGTGAAAGATGAGAATAATGATAAGGACCCAATCATAAGATTACAGTAAGATTCCCCTCCCTATTTGCAGTACAGTACAGTACTTTCAACTTTCTCACTTTGCTAGTTCACCATAGCAATTCATTACTCAACCTAATTCAGCCTTCAATGCAACTAATATATGGTAATGGTATCATTCACACATCAAGAAATTTGGACAAATCATGAGGAAATAATTCACCCGACAAGTCACATTGTTCTCACTCTTATTAATTTTGATGTTTGGCTTCATCCATACACACACTTTACAGCCATGGTTACACTCCATACACGAAATGAACTCAGCCCAATCACTCTTTAAACCATTAGCTAACTGCTATGAGTACCTATGTATTAAGTCCTCCTTAAAAGCCTTTGTCAGTACAGTAATATCCTGGATAGCTCTACCCCATACAGTCATGTTTTGTTATAGTGCTCTTGCTTCCATCTTGCAGCTCTAGTTTTACTTAATGTCAACACACCCATTGTATGTTACCACTCCATTCCCCTCTCCTCTCTAATCACCTCAACTTTCTGCTTTCTCACTCCATATTTCAAAATGTTATGTCACGTAATGTTGAAGAGATACAACGTTGCTCATTTATATTTACACTCAATTTTGTGGGTACAGATTATCTGTTCAATAGCGTCTGGCAGTGTTGCAGCCAGTATCACAAAAGAAACTGATAGATGCATCACTTCCTCACCACTTAACACAATCTCCCTCGCCACCACCCCCCCATCATCACCACTACCTCTATTAACACCACCACCTAAATCATAATTTCAGTGATGCAGAGTTGGATTAGCTTCTGCCACAGCAGCTCTGTATGATATCCATTGCCTCTTTCCCACCCACTGCATCTCACTCATTCTAATATGACTGTCATTCATGACACAATATTGTACAGTACTATACATTGTTTACTTGCTATTCATTAATTAGTACAGATATGTTACTGTAATAATCTGTGTTTATTAATACTGTACTTGTACCCTTCACATTCAATACTGTATATATCCCACAGGTAAAAAATATCATCAGGAATGCATTTCCATATATGCAACGGTATAATGACCCTGTAGAGAGCTGTTTCGGATAGAGCTCCATTTTCCAGGAATGTATCCTGATCACAAATTGGGGTATTACTACTGTAATCAAATCTCTCATGTTTCCCGTAAACAACCAAAAGCCTACACTTGCACACAAATACAATTTTTTTATCACTCTATGGATATTTGTAGTCATTAACATTGACTACAAGACAAGCTTGCATAGATTTCTTTGCATAAACAGGAATTCTATACTAACCCCTTCACTACGAGGGTGCCACTTAATATTTGGGCTAACGGCAGAAAATTTTATTCAGATCAGAGGGGGGCCCGTACACAAGGGGTTAAACACAAATCAAAGAATTATCTTTACATTATCTCACCTGCAATATAGTGAAGGGTGGAGCTTCCACTGCAACTGGTTGAGTACCCATGTCTGATCCTACATCTGATTCAATGATGTCCTGCTGTGAATCTGCTTGATATAGACTAGCAGACCATATGTCATTGATCACATTCACAGCCATTTTAGTATTGATAGTGGGATCAGTTAGGTTTAAACCACGCGAGTTGCTGCTGCTGTTACATTGCGAGTTATCCTGAGGTGTTGGGTTAGCACCTGAAGAGAGGGAAAAAAGCTTTAACAACAAATACAGTAAACCCTCGATAACTCGGAATTTCATATAACTCGACACAGACATGGACTCGGAATGTATTATAGTATAACTCAGGAAATGCTGATATATAAAATTACCTGGGAAAATAATGGCATATCTGGCCACCTGCATCACCTACCATACCTCTGTGTCACCTACCACTCATCTGTGTCACCGACTATGATGCTTTATTCTTTGCCTGCAGTGTTACTTTTTTACATTTATTAATTACATGTACACATATATGGGTCGATAATTTTTTATTGTTGTATTTTTGTAGGAAGGGGAAAGTGCCTCAATAAGTCAGAATTGGGGATAACTCAGCAAGGCCAGAGCCCCATATGTTATCAAGGGTTTACTTCCAAATCACCATGTACCTACAACATGCCTGATCTACCCCAAGTACACAACCTTTTTAAGTTTTCATAAATAGTATAGCAAAATACAAGGAGTGACAGATCACCGATATAAACAAACATATTAGTTAATAAGAACACTTCTTAACAGTGCAAAATACAACTACAACTAATATGAAAATGGTGAACTTAATTAACCAAGCATGATATTATTACAACCAAAGTGACATTACCCATCTCCGATCATGTCTTCCTTTCCCTCTTCCTGACATACTTTAACATATGCTTCACTCTCCCTGTAACACACTGAACAACATTCAGCATTAAACCTTTATTCAAAACCTATTGAACATGTGGATTAAAACAAGGAAGACAAGGAAGCATGTGGATCAAGTGTTATGGTAACTCACTCCAAAAAGTATCTTTACAAATTAGTGAGAGATAATATGACAACAGACAAAGGATTTTGACAACTCTACAGAGACAACAAGAGTCAAGCTGTTTATCTTTAAATTCACCGGACCCATCTATAAAGATACCTTTTGGAGCAAGTGTACAGGTCTTACAACCACAAAATAATAAGATTCAATTTCAATATAACTGACCGTGAGTCGTTGGAGTTTGGTCTCGGATAACAGATGCCTCATTACTACTCAAACAGGCTGTAGCGGGCTGACACTGAAGTAAGTTACTAGTACTGCTCTCATCCAGAAACTAAGATAAATAAGTATCTGTAGTTAATAACAATACTAAAAAGAATGAAAAAGTTCTTTTAATATGAAAAGAAAAAATATAGAATTTTTGTAACATTAAAATAAGAGAAATTTATGAATTACTGACATACTGATTTCCTCAAAAGTTTTCCATAATAATTGCAAGGTTAGTAAGAAATACTGTACTACTGTAAAACTAAAGTGAAATCCATTGCAGGTACTCACATTTGAAACATTAACAGATGCATTCACTGATTTATTAATTGCAATCCAGCTGTCTTGGTATAAGCTGCGACTCATACTCTGTAGAAAACAGAATAAACATTATCAGAATAACTGCCTCTAATAAAACTCAAATATCTTATTGTACCACAAGTCCGAAGAATCAATGCTAATACAACATTTAAATTGTAGAAAAATCTCCAAGCCCTTCACCTTTCCAAGAATAACCAATTCCTTCCATAAATGTATGCATGACTCGTTTACTTCACACACTTATGAAGAGATGAAATTTGGGTTAATCTCAGCTACTCTTCACACAATATCGTTATCTTTGGAATATTAACCAACATTTTTTTCTCATATTTATTGTAATTAAAACTCACCTGAGGTGCTTGTATTTGGAAATATGGGATCCACATCCTAGAGAAGCCATTTTGATGAATTTTAGATGGAGAACTCACCATTATGTGTGGTATTTGTCTCACCTATGAAAGATTCATTTCATAAGCAATTTACATTATACCTGTATATAAAACATAAACTTGCCTGAATAATTCACCAAACCTGCAGTAACAAATCAAAATTTAGCTGGCTAAAATACAAATAAATCAATGCTTCAGAATATTAAGATGAATTACAGAAAAGAATTTTGAGGAATAAGCGAATGCACTTACGTATTTGCTGGAGATAGTAACACTAAACTACTATGCATACCATCGGACAGACTAAAATGAAATCACTTTACATTTACGACAAAACATAAATATTTGGAAAGCAGTGGAGAAAGTAGTACAGAAAACTACCTGAATTAAACTAACTGAAGCAAAGATATAGACGGGTGTGGACATGCATCCATAGATCATTTGACTAACCTGCTGCGCTTGCTCCTGTTTTTGCTGATTTAGTCGATCTTGCAATAACTGTTGAATCAGTTCTTCTTGTTTCTTTAACATATCTTGCATCTTTTCCAATTCCTCTGAAAAATTAGGTTACTATACTGTAATAAATGTTTACCATAACTCCGTGTCACACAGGAATATTTGCAAGTTATTTTCCTCGAACGTAGAATTTAAATTTGACAAACAGACGGAAAAGCACACCCTTTATGCCCCTTGCAAATGATGGTGGAATAAAGTACAGCACAGTATACTTGAAATAGAAATAAAGAAATCTCAGTTAAATCCATTCGTTTTTACGTTGAGTGAAACACTTTCCTATCACCTCAACACTTCATAATTAAGGCCCATTAATTTGGTTCATAAATGACACTCATGTTTCCATTCACTTCTCCTGTCATACAAATTTCCTTCAATGTCTGCAACCCCTTTTTATCCTCTGGCATACACCAAGAGTAAACAGGTACTGTATCACAAAAACTTAGCAAAATAGTTACCAAATCAAACCATCTTTCAATTGGTCTACCTTTCATTCTTCCTATTTTCATTAACCCCTTGAGTCTAAGGGAAGTACCTGAAACAGTACACCCTCTTACACCAAACGTCAAGTCAGAGGGAAGTACCTAGTACGTCCTTTAATCAACATGACAGTAGGAAAAGTTGGTAAGGTCAAATTGCTCTGATATGGCACTAGTCTTATTATTAAGGCTTAGTCACATTTTTTTCCCTTGTGTTGAGGTGGGTATTATTGGCCTAACTGTGTTTATCTTTTTTCTTTTCATTTCCAAGTGGCCAACCTGCTCTGTTTACTTGTTTGATAAGAAACTGACCACCACATGGTGGGCAATGAGCTGTTACGTGAGTGATGGGAGCATGCATTCACACACATCCCTCCCTCTGATAGCTTGTTTGGTAACCATATTGGCCTTTCTAAGCGAAGAGGAAAAGATTCCATTTGTTGATTATCTACCTGTTCATCGGTGGCAATTAAGCCCTTTCTGGTGATTAAATTTAAGAAAATGTGAATATGCACTTGAAGAATGAAAACAAACATGGAATACAAAATTAATCATTTATGATCATGCACAGCTCCACAGTTATCCATCTTCAAATCAATTAAAGTATTCACTGTTGTGTGCCTGTCAGCTGAGAAAGACGAGCCTTGTACAGTCACTTGACCCTAATATAGAGTACCATATATACACATCACTCCATATGACTTCAGCTTATGTTTATGATTTTAATAAAAAATTTACTCACATGTAGTATGGCAGTTATTAACATCTTAATCTGAAAAAACTTTTTGACATTTTTACGAAATGAAAATAACGAAGCTTTCTTGAGTCAACAGGTCTTTGATCCTCATTATGCTATGGGTACACCATTACATATTCTTTTTTTAATATAAATGTCCCTAACCAACAGTATACCATACTAAAAAGACTGTAGTCATTTATTAGGAAATACATTTTCAGTTGGCGCTCTTGGTTTTCTAATTTCACAGATGCAAAAGAAAGACAAACAAGTGACTTGTTGGAAATGGACATTTCAGTTACTGCTCTCCAATTTTAATGATATCTTTTAATAATAACCCAGATTCAAACTCATGATTTTTCCTGAGGGTGATACATGATAGTCAATAATGTTAATGAAATGTAGTACAGTGTTGTCCATAGTTCATGTGCATCACTTACACAACCTACCATCACCCATCCCATACACATTATAACTATGTAAATAGTTTCTTACCATTCTTTTTTTTTTCCTCCTTCTCCTTTTTGAAGTACTGTGCAGCTTTCAGCTCCTCAAAGCTGAACTCCTCATTTCCACAATAAACCTATTTGAAAAATTCAAACACACAAATGAATAAACCAAATACACCAATAATCAAACACCTTAAAAATTACAACAGACAACAAAGATGTATATAAAGCCTTCAAACAACAGTACAGTACTATAGTTCTACACTGAATACCGGTACCACTTAACGTAATAATCCATCAACAAACTCGGGTCGGAGAGAAACAAACAAATGGAGAAGTGAAAACCAACATACAGTAGTACTCCCTGCACACACACAGGAGTCTTAAAACTGTGGTACAACTACTGTATCATTAAAACAATTTTTCTTTCATTTCCCTTCTTGTTAAACTGACTAATTCATGCATACATCTCCCAGTTGCAGACTCAGCCATAAAATGGGACTTCAGAATCTATTTATTATTTCCTCTGAATCATTTACTGGAATTCACTTTAGAACAATTCTTTGTATCATTTAGTGACTATACTTTCAGCTTTAGTTATTTTCCAGATGTGAAAAGTTTTACTTTGCTAATTTCCTAATAGTGTATGCACATTTTCTTGACCCACAATATTTGATCTAAGAGACCCATGATACATCCTATTTAACATACCGACTGTATACAGTAGTATTCCAAATTTCTAACTGATCTATGTAGGTTCAAAACTATAGATCCTATTCAAAATCTAATATTCTGAAAGCCATAAAAGAGATTCCAATACAGCTATTATGGCACTAGCATGTCTCTTTGGTAGCTGAAGCATAGTTTGGTATGCAAATTGGCACCATATTTCTTAATAAAAAGCCAATATCATCATGGTTCTAATTTACGGTATTGATAAAATGGATAAATAGCACAATAGCTTAGATGACTGAATGCCTATTCATATCCAGTTTGATTATAACAAGAGCTGTTTAGGTTTACCCATGCAAATAATAAAATATATAAGAAGTAACAATTTTCCATATTACCTTATGTTTACAGTACTGTGGCTGGACCTTTGGGTTAAATGGCTCTGCAATAAACATTTCAACATGCCAGTCTTTATAATCCTTACATGTAGCGAGAACATTACTAGTTTGTGGGAGTTTTGACGGGGTTGCTGTAGGTAGTGATATATTCTCATCCGCGTGAACTGAAATAAAAGGTAAACATTTCTCAAGCAATTGCTTATACAGTACTGTATATAAAGAATTTGTTTGTCTTATATATATATATATATATATATATATATATATATATATATATATATATATATATATATATATATATATATATATATATATATATATATATATATATATATATATATATATATATATATATATATATATATATATATATATATATATATATATACACACACACACACACACACACAGTGACCCCTCGGTTAACGAACTCAATCCGTTCCAGAAGGTCGTTCATTAACCGAAAAGTTCGTTAACCGAAACCATTGTTTCAATGGGTTTTTGGGTAATTGGTTCCAGCTCACCGAAAATTTCTTAAATTCAACAAAAATGGTAGAAAAGTTCACTTACTTTGAGGTGTGTATGTAGAAGGCTCCTGGATGATGATGATGATGGGATTTAGAATGGGGGTGGAGGAGAAGGAAGAAGAGAAGGCATTGGGGTGGAAGAGAAGTCACCCCATGGCGCCATTTCACCCATAAAATTTTAGCTCTCTAAGATTATTTTCTTTAAATCAACACTGCACTGCATTATATATTGTCAATATGTAAAATATATTTCAAAATGACCAATAATTTGCTTGGAAACACAGAAAAAAAGCGTTTAGTTGAAGAGAGTCTCAAGCCAGATGTTACCTCCAGTGAAAACAGAGAGAGACTAACGCCTGTTTGCTGTGTTAAGAGGCTGGATGCAGCGCATTAAACTAGTCACTTTACCTTCAATTATGTTCAATAATTGTTAAAATGACTAAAAAATTGAATATTAAACTTTTAAAATTATTGAATAGTATAAACTTCTTGATATTTATTAAAATAGTAAGGAATTTAAGCCCTAGAACCGATTAATATATTGGCGGACTGATACTAAAGCTGGTTGCCCGGTCAGTGCAAGCGAAAACATGTTGAGGTCGGTTCGTAAGAAATTCGTTAACCGAATTGAAGATCCTTATGGAAGGCAGTTCGTTAACTGAAATTTCGTTAACCGAGGCGTTCGTTAAACGAGGGGTCACTGTATGTATGTATATATATATGTATATATATATATATATATATATATATATATATATATATATATATATATATATATATATATATATATATATATATATATATATATATATATATATATATATATATATGTAAGTAAATCACTGTAGGGCAAAAAAGAAATATTGGCACAAGTAAATGTCAAAAGTCACTTGCTTGGGACAAATAAATGTTCCACATAACCTACTCAGTCTGCTGAAGAAGGAGCAGACATCATCAATGCTATGTAGTCTCTTAATTAAACTAAGGTTTTTTCCAATGAAGTATGTCATCCAATGTCATTACGTATAATACTGCACTGTACTGTACATACTAAATCCATAAATTACAAATAGAATTGTGAGTAAAAAAGATAAAATATTAATCACTGAACTGTACCAGAAAATGCAGGTTTCTGATATAAGCCGAGGTCGTCCACAGACACAACATTACATGTTTTCTGAGGAACCTTTTTTTTTGTCCATTGTCCTGGATTTTTTACATTTTCTTGGTTCACAGCAGCACCAACTGGAAGTGAGCCTCCTCTGCTTTCACCTGCGCTAACTCGTGAATGATCATCAGATGAGCCAGTGTCCTGTATGAGTACGACAATGTCATTTGTTCATTAAATTTTAGAAAATTAATAATTCAAGTTTATGATAAGTAAAAGTTATTGATAAAATATGGAGACTACATTTCTAATTCCTAATGCCATTAAGGTAAAGTGACACCAGACACACTTTGAGAAAGAAGCCAATCAACAATCAAAATACAATTAAACTGGTATAAACACAATGTCTCATAAGAAATACTGCACCTAAGAAAAATTTGCACTTCTTACTGCTTACACGGAATATCGAAAATGAAGGACCACCGGCATTCTTTTTTGTCTCCTCTTGAGAAACTCGTCCGGCGGGCCCAACCACAGATGATCCTACTCGCTCATTAGGAACACGATTACCATGACCCTTGGATTTAAGGGAATTGAGAACTGTTCGTTGTGGTTCTGAATAATTCGATTCTTGCTCAACTATTCTTCCCTCCATGGTTGATCTAGTTACTCTCATCTGGAATTTTCTAAAAATACCAACAAACAACATCAACAAATTTAATAGTCAAAGAATAAGAAATGTCTAACATTTTTTTTAAAACGATTTTCAATATTCCCAGTTTTGTTCAAACCCCAGAATGCGACGCCTAGCTTTTAACCTAGGTATGTTAATGCCGAGCAATAACTCGCCAGGCCAACATACAGGCAATTAAAACATCTAATAATTACTTTAATAATTAATATTAGGAGGACATGTTGCTACCTGGCATTTAATTGTAATTCTCGAAACCCCCCTCACCCCCCATCATACGCACTGCCACCGTCATCTCTTGCCTTAGAGCGAGCAGTAAACAAAAGTCAACTCTCAGAGGGGTGGAGATGGGTGGGTTATCAGTGTCGCATTCTGGGTTATATCATAAAAACTGTTTAAAAAAAAAAACTGCTTTTTTATATTTATTTACAGGGATTAGCCCACCCGGGCACAGGTCACTGACCCACATCAGGGCCTGGGGGGGGGAAATAATAATAATAATAATAATAATAATAATAACAACAACAACAATAATAATAATAATATAATAATAATAATAACAACAACAATAATAATAATATAATAATAATAATAACCATAAATGCAAAAAAAATAAAATAAAAATAACCAAGAATGAGAAACGATATACATTATGTATGTTGTGTTGTCCAAGTAAGAGAAACAATTGAGACCCTGCAATTGTGTGTAAATGAGGCAAAAAGTCAGATCAGCAATCTGGGACTTGGTCACAATTTTGTGATGCCATATAGCAGCAGGGTCTACCATAGACAATACATTATGTTTCCAATATCTTCCCAGGTGGTAGTACCTCCCTGTTTGATAGCTGCCTACTACTTTTCCTGCTATAACAAAGGATGGCTGGACTCAAGACCACCACTCTATTCCGCCAGCTATAAAATCATTATTTTAGCTGCCTTATCTTATGTGTTATGTAATGGTGTCCCCTCTCATGACATCAGCTAAGCATGTCCATCTTACTTATCCAAATGCTTAGTACATCATTCCTAGCTTCACACATCACAATACTGTATCACATCAAAATCTATGAAAGAAAACTGATTATATGCAACTAAAATACTATTCAATTTACACACTCAGATGATGAATTTTTTTTGCCAATATCATTCTTGCATCTTAGTATACTCTCAGAGAATATGGGTACAACCCCATTAATGTTGTAACAAAGAATACAGTATAAGAAAATGTATTAAAAGGACTTTGTTGTGGACCACACATCAGAGCACATCTACAGCTGCTACATTGGTCTCGACTCTCTTTCTAACATTATAATAGGAAAGGGCTGGGAAAAATATAACATCCTTTACTCACTGTACCTCTTAGCTAACAAAAGCAACTGAGGATTTATATGCCAACTTATTTCTCACATACTGTACAACTAGTATTTTGTATATGGTTTTAGGAATTGGAATCTTGAATGTTATTTTTAATGATTAATTATCCATTCCATGTACAGTTCACTTTAAACACTGAATCTTACATATCACACCAAGCAATTTAAACATATCTGGTTAGTACATGGATGAGTGACTGGGAACACCAGATGCCATTGATATAAAAACCCTTCTGGAAATAAGCATCTAATGATTTTGTCAGCTTTCCTTTGTCAAATTTGCTAGATACCAATTAGTAATGTATTATTACTGTTGCCATATCCCATTGTCTATATTCTCAAATTCCCACATTTATTTTTGTGCTTCAACTGAAGACAAGAGAAGATGCCTACAGTAGTTATGGCAGAGATGCAATGCAACTTCAATGGCATATTTTTTTAGCAATAGCTTAAATGAACCATTTGTTTGCTTGAATAGAGGCAAAGAAATTCTGAATCATGAAACCCTGTTCTCTTTTAATATATTGATCTGGGAGGTTCCAAATCTGACTGCTGTTCTGACCTCAGAATTACCTTCAACCCTTTACAGATACTGAGAACTTATTTACTTGTGTGCTTCTTGAAGAACATCTGCTGGCTCTGCTCTAATCTGCATACCATTCTGATATATAATATCAGCTCGCTTGTAATTTCCTGCCTTCTCCATCTCCCAGGACCAGTTTATGTAGAAATCAGTAAGAAGTGTGCATATACCTTTGGCTTCTAAAGTCTGATAAACTTCAACAGGACGTGCACACAGATCAGCCTGCAAAAGTGAGATAATCGAAGCACTGCCAACAAGATAAACAATTCAAAGATTTGAGGAAACATTCTAGACAAAATGAGCACAAGCAAATAGGGGTCAGGAATGGGTGGAAACTGAAGGAAATTTGGAATACAGAGTAGTTCGAGTGGTGTAGTATTTCTATTATTTGATATTATTATTATTATTATTATCATCATCAATATTTTTTTTTAAAGAAAATACAGTGTAAATATGCAGCCACAAGAAAATTTGAAGGTGAAACAAAATGAATGGTACGGTATTACAGTGGTCCCTCGGTTAACGAATTACCTTCCATAAGAATATTCAATTCGGTTTACGAAATTCTTACGAAAATGTTTTGACATGCTTTGGCTTGCTCACCAGCTGGAAGATTAGTCCACCAATACATAAATCGGTTCTAGGGCTTACATTCGTTAAAATTGGAGTAAATATCAAAAAGGTTGTACTATTCAATAATTTTCCAAGTTTTATATTAAATTTTTTAGTCATTTTAACACTTATTTAACATCATTGCAGTACAGGGAACTAGTTTTTGGTGCGCCAATCAGCCACTTCACTCACCCACCAAGGCCTCAGTTGGTGTCTCTGTTCAATGGAGGAAACATCTTGCTTGTGGGTCTCTTGAACACAGAGTATTTTTACATTTTTACAGTACAATTATTGGTCATTCTGAAATTTATTTAACAAACTGACAATATATAGTGCAGTGCAGTGTTGAATTACACCAAGTGAACTTAAAATTTTATGGGTGAAATGACGGCATCAAGCATGGGGTGATTTCTCTTTCACCCCCACTTCCTTCTCTTCTCCCTTCTCCTCCACCCCCACTTCAAATTCCCATCATCATCATCATCAACCAGGAGCCTTCTACATACACACGTCAAAGTAAGTGTGCTTTACTGCATTTTTTTTACTTTGTATGTAATTTTCGGTGAGCTGGAACCAATTACCCAAAATCCCATTGAAACAATGTTTTCGGTTAACGAACGACCTTCTGGAACAAATTGTGTTCGTTAACCGAGGGACCACTGTATAAGATGATGACATTGTTTATTAACGGAAGAACACAGAAAGACCAGGAAGGATTAAAGGATGATTAGAAGGGAAGAAAAAGAAAAATTAGATACTTTGGTCATATAATTATGGATGAGTTATTATTGAGAAAAATGTAGCAAAAACAAAGAGAAACATAATGAGAGAAAAGGAAGTGAAAGAGGGATAAAAAAAGAAGCACAATTTAACGGTGGGGATATGAGAGAGAGAGGAAGGCCAAGGAGATGGAAGAATAGGGCAAAGGATGCACCATAAGTGAGCGGGAGAGACGACCAGGAAGCAGCAGTGTCCATGAATGACGACAAGTAGTTTGTGAGGAAGTTCTTATTGGGTACCAGGAAACAAGAATTTCATCAGCAGAACGGAGTCAGGAGAAGTAATTGTAAATCTGATTAATACAAAAAACACTAATGACTGTCAAAGGTCTCGCCCTGAATAAGTAATACAGTACACTAATATTAATAATCTATTGATACAGGAATACAATCACACACACACAAAATACTGTGCACAGAAATGTAAACGTACTGCTTTAAGAAATTGTAAGCCATACTCACATATTTCAACCAAATATCCAAGAAACGTGGATCATTTTTGTACTTCTCATTTGTTTCAGCATTGCCATAAACAGATGAAAGACATTTCTCTATTAGTTTCTTTATATTTCCATCTTTGCCTCCCTTTGGATAACTCTGCTCAACCCAGAGTATGTAGCGATACCACACGTCCAGAGGATCATCCCCTGAATAGGTCCGCAGTTCTTCTTCAAACACACTGAAATAAAATTAGTCTTTAGTAAAAAAGAAACTGACTAGATACTGTAGTATATTTTTTTACAATATAATTAACATAATTTGAAATAAATGTATAACAAATACACTTTACACAAAATGACTTTCAATCCCCTCCTATTTAGCATAAGTCCTGTATGATATAATCAGCTCCAGATATGGAGGTATTCATCATCAGACAATGGAACAAACAGATTTAATAAAATTTCCATATTGGCAGTAAATAACACTCATACAAAATATATCTTTAAGAACACATATGGTAAATAAATACAGTACCTATACTACAGTACAATCATAATACTGAATACAAATACAGTAGCATACTCACTGCATGGTAGCATTCAGTTTCTGTGTGGCACTCTCATTAAGAACAACTGAGAGGACAGCAGCCTTCCTCCCATGCTTCAAAGGCTGAATATTCTCCTTACTTAACTCCCAGCGATTTGCCGATTCATCCCCAACATCCATTTTGCCAAGTCACATCCACTTCTGCAATATACAGTACAGTACATACAGTGGGTCTCATTCACCTGACCTGATGCTATGTATAATCACCCATTATATATAGACTCCTCGCAGTTTTTGTAAACTCATTTGCCTCTGAATATACCGTATGTTGCAGCGTATAAGTCGACCCTATTATTTTCAGGTTAAAAGTTTGAATTAGGCCTATTCTTGGCGTATAAGTCGACTGCAGAACTTCCTTTGAACATCCGACATCACGTCCTTCGATAGTCATGTATCACAGTCAGGTTATTCGGTGCATGGTTCATGTGTAGGAGTCCCCTTGTATTCCTTGAGCCATTGGGTCTGATCTTGGGTATATATTTATTGATCAAATGGTTCACTTTACTAGCTATGATATTCAGCATAGTGTCTGAGTTCTTATACCTTAGTAAGTCAGGCCAGTGGATACCCCTCATCCCGTCGTAATTTCCCTTGTAACATTTGCGATTCCATGACAAAAACCCAGTGGACAAAATCCCAGCGGACAAAATCCCAGCCTCTTATCCCAAAAGTGGACAAAAACCCAGTCTCAAATAAGATTAATTAATAAGATTAGGTGTAAAGACCATTCGCCTGTTATCATATTAATAATATGATATTATATTATATTGTATTAAGGTATCGTATACAATTTTCATGTGTGGCAAAAAAAAAACACGACAAAATAATAACACCTATGATCTAACCTAACCTAACCTTGTCAACTTGTGTTCTGATCGCCAATCCTCATCTAAAAGTGTAGAGGAGTTCCTACAGGGTGTTGGAGCATGCATTCGTTTCAAGTGATTATTCATAATTATGTTTACATAATGGAGCATAATTTTGTGAGCATGAAATAAATTTATATATCGAATATTGTTTATTGTATCAATTTGACTTTAAATTTTTTTTCGAATTTTTTTTTTAAATATGACTCTTTTATTTATAAGACTGGGATTTTGTCCACTTTTGGGATAAGAGGCTGGGATTTTGTCCGCTGGGATTTTGTCCACTGGGATTTTGTCCTGTAACCAACATTTGCACCTTGGCCTGTCTAGACTCCTCCATGTCTATATTTATGACTATTTTAAATGTTTACATCGCCCAGTTTATAAATTGAAACTGCCAAATCTATTAGCCTGAAATCTGTAAATTGCAATAAAGTTATTCTAAACCACACAGTGTGGGTACAATTAATCTTGGGTACGACTTATCTCATCAGTTGGGTAGATTTATATAACATTTCCCTTTTCCATTTTTAATTTCTTTCTATTCATATTTTTTCGCCTGCCAGGCCGTTGTGGGTCAGTGACCCGTGGCCGAGTGGACTAATCCCCGTAAAAAAAAAAATACAAATCTACCGAATTGGTGAAATGATAATGATAAAAAGTAAGTTGGTTTAACCTGAAACAGTCAAAGACTACTGTTAAAAGTTTACTTCTACTGGGATCCTCATGCAGGGATTGAGTGGCTAAATAAAATAAAATAAATATTACAGAACATAAAAATGTATGAGTGAATGTGTCACACCACATAGCACATACTGTACATTAACCATACATCACATTAGTGTCTGGATTTCAACAAAAATCCTATGTGACGATAACTTTTCTTCTCTTAGGTCAAAAGCACGATTTATGGTAGAGTTCAAACGATTCATTTACTATCAATTCTAATAAAAACCTTTAACATTTACAACAACAGTCAACTGTATAACATCAAGTAATAAACATTGGAGTGGGTGTCATGACCGGACGCCACTATCTTCACTCTCAACACCTCTTAAACTATCACCAATTACATTAATAATATAACCTCTGATATAAAAATAATTCAGAGTACATCTTGGGATACTTAGCTAAGCATATACTCACAAGTCCAAGAGACAACGGAAGTTTAAGTGTTAAAGAGACAGACTCATACACCGTGTTAACAGATTCAAACTTTGTGCGGTTCTGAGAGGCGTGCGCACCTCATCCACCACATACCACTGCTTCTTCACAAACTATTACATTAATAACTAAATACTGTATCATAAATTTTTTATATACAAAATTCAGAATAATATTTATATCTCACAAAGTAAAATACCAATATATACATATCCATGGTATCAAACTGACTAACGTGTAATAAAACATTGCTAATACTTAATATTATTCGTAAAAAAATTATATAAATAATTATTAAAAATTATAGTTTGATTTCTCGCATAATTATAAGACTGGATATATAGTTGAGTAAGAAGATGTTATATTTGAGTTAATGATGAACGAGTGTGTGAGCGTCAGCGGCTGGGAGGGTAAACAAGAGATGTGGTGCAGGTGTTGACTTATGTCTCTTATTTACTTTATTACTTGAACTAGTCACTTGAAGAAGGCAATTATGATGGCCGTTGCAACAGTTGAGAATTCAGCATTGGAAAAGATATTAAAGTAAGTAAATTGTTCATGTGGTTATGGTGTACTTAGGGAGTCTGTGTGCCATAGTGTGGGATGATCTAAGGCAGCAGCTTCTACAATAATGTGGAGCATTTCCTGAAGTAAAGAGTTATTAAAAAAAAGTCCACAGGATCAAAAATCAGGGTAAGACTTATGAACATGTGTGTACACAGTTAGGCAAATACTGGTACGTACGGATTATATAGTATGTACTTTTAAGCATTTGTATATCGTAGGTTATTTACCTGTTTAGAAATATCAATGACAATAAAAGAGCATCGTCTGGTAGTGTTAAAACCAAGCAAGCAATATTGTGTTTGATATATACAAAATATATCCACTATAGTCAAAGTAATGCTCATTGAAGTTCTCAAATGTTGCCATATTTTTGGTAAATACGGTAAATAGATTACTAGGAAAAAAAAGTTGTAGGTATTTTTTTCCTTGTTATAAATGGCTATAACCTTTATTTAAATGGAAAATGCATATTTATGGAGATATTACCCCAACACTAGCAACGACAATGATTTCTTTCAAGTATTAATATTGAAGGAGGAGAAAAGGGCCACAACTCAAAATCAAAGCATCTGTACAAAAACGACTATCACCAGTGCCTAGAGCATAAAAAATACTTCTAAGATAATCATGTCTTGTTGCTGGGACGAGATGTTTTCTATACTTTGTACTGTTTTGGCCACATGTGTGATTTTTATGTATAAAAGTTACATCATTGTTTGTATACCTGTCCTGTTATATGCATTGTATACCTGTACTCTATGGTATACAATTTTTTTTGTATACTGTACATATTGAATCAGTGTAAACTTGTATGATAATTTTGATTAATATCTTTGTCTCTTTATCTAACTTTTCATTCCTGTTTATTAAAACATATCCATCCATTTCATAGACCTAATGTAAGCTATCGTTTAACTTTGCCATTTTGTCTTCATTACTTATAAAACTTTTATTAGATTATTTAATATTTTTATGCATTTGCCTTTCAGTTTTGTGAATGATACTGGTTACAAGGAACTTATGCAAAATTCTGCCAAATATAATGTGAGAATCCGCAAGGACAGGATATATCGACAGCCATATATTGATGGTCAGACAGGTATGTTAATTTTATATGGTTAAATCAGTATGGTAAGCATTTGCTTGTTTATGATGAATAGTATACAATCTTATCCTCTTTTACTCCCCAAAATGGTCAGGATATGACCCAATCTGGATAGTCAGATTACCTAGATATTGGAAATTGCCTTTGGAAATTTTCAAGAAAATTGTCTACTTTGACATCAGTGGTAAACACCAATGTAAAAGCTGCCAATTTTTTTCCTTTCATCCCTGTTGCATTCAAAACAAGGGCATACAGTTTTCTTGATCTAATAATTTTTCCACAGTCAAGTCTTATCACTAATTACTGTACATCCATACTGTTCTGACACACCAGTTTTATTGGCTCTTTCTTCCTCTTGGTAACAGAATACAGGTACAAGAAGGTTGGCTTACTAACCTCACTTTTGTGGAATAAGAGGGACAGTACACCACCCCTGATGCTATACATATCAGGCAGAGAGCAGATCAGGATTTTCTCAGGTGGCATGAATACTTGTACAGTATATAGTATTAAGAGAATTGGAAGTGTACAGTTAATTCAGAGACGGATGGTGTAGGTGAGAATAGGACCGAGAAGGATGGGGTCAAGGTTACTCTGCAAGTGAAGGAGGAGCATCCAGGGAGCAGTAGTGTGTGTATAAATGGCCAGAGAGTAGGGCATAAATGGCATAGAGTGATTTTGGGGAGAAAATATATAATTTATTCACTCTTGCAAGCCTTTGAGTGTAACATTATTTATGACCTTTGTGTGCTTCATTCATGGCAGGGGTAGCACAGCGACACTGTCATCTCTTCGTTAGTGACAAACATCGTATGCCAGGAATTCTGCAGGGTCAGGTCTACACATATCCAGCAAGAAGATGGAAATCACAGAGACGGTCATACTTAGGTTCTCTTATGCAGGTAAATTGCTGTTCCTATTTTCATTAGATTTCCTTGCCATGCCGGATCCACCTTAAGGGGTAAGGGATGGGCGGCACCCCAGGTTCACAAAAGTGTTAATGTTAAAGACCATTTGATCAGATATATTTTCAAGATTCTTCCACAGAATGTAAACTTGAATGCTGATATCATACAGCTAAACCTTTTTGGTTGTATTGTTTTGGGTTTTTTATTTTGTTTCAGGCAGCTAAAGCAGACCCTGATGAACATACAATTACTACAGTGGAAAATCCTGCTGCAATTGTTGCAGCTGTTGAAGAACCTGTCCATCAACCAGAGAAAGTGGTAGTGGGGGTAGGTATTATTATTAGTAGTAGTAGTTGTTGTAATATTATTATTAGTAATGTATGATTAATACTGTATTATTATTTTATTATTATGTTATTATTCTTATACTGTATAAGTGTGGTGGGGAGGGGAGTTTGTGGTAGGCCAAGAACAAAATGGGGAGAGGTTGTGAGAAACGGTTTTGAGAATAAGCACCACAAGACACCATGCAGCCTGGAGAGCTGCCATCGGGTAATCAATGCAGGCATGGAAAATGGTTGGAAATGATGATTTTGATAGCATTACAGAAAAGCAAGATGATTTTCTTATTAATTATTGATGTGTACGTATATGTAAGTATGTATTCAGAATATTTGTAACAAGGAGAATGTTTTGAAAAGAAATTATATGAAAGATCCGTTGTTACACCGAACAGGGAGGTACTACCGCCTGGGAAGATATTGGCAGCATAATGTGTTGTCTAATGGTAGACCCTGCTGCCATATGGCATCACGAAGATTGTGACCAAGTCCCAGGTTGCTGATCTGACTTTCTGCCTCATTTTCACACAATTGTAGGGTCTCAATTGTTTCTATTACATGACAAAACAACATACATATAGCGTTTCTCACTGTTGATTTTTTTTCATTCTTCCATTTCTTTGTATTTATTATTATCACAGTGTTATTATTATTATTACCATTAATATTTTATTTTACTTTTTATTATAAATTTTATTTACTATGAATTATTAATATTATTACATTTTCGCCTCTCTTTAATGAGATTTAATACCGATAGCTATAAAAACGTTTATACATTTTGGTCTTCCAGCCGCTAGAGCAATGGGCAACCTTCTATGAGGAAGGGCCTTTTGAAGATGAATTGGATGATGAATTTGAATCAGAAGAAGATTTTGATGATGAAACATACAATCGTAAAGGAAGCAAACGAAAGAAGGCTGCAGTTGGGAGAAAGCCTAAGGTATGTATCTAGTTATTTGTATTGTGCTCTTGATTATAATGTCCCTTAAGTTCTCCAGATTCAAGTACTCTATTGTAGCTGCAAGGAATTGATACTGATTTACTTCAAAACACTGGGAGGAGTAAGGTATTATTGTAAATTTGATACAGAAATTGAAAACATGTAATTTGATAAGAGCTTTGCATCGTAGTAAAATTGTACAGCAGTTGTGTGCCATGATAATGATGGTGGGAAACAAAATCTAGCTTCTTAAATGAACACATAGTTAAGTGTAAGGCCTCAAGATTGACTCATCATAGTGTTAACATAATTCTTGGTCATCGTAATTTGGAATCATAAAATGTCATTACAGTACACAACAGAATGTTTTCCTTATCTTGTCACATTTCATTTGCCAAACTTAATTGGTGCAGAGTTTAACTTTGAAGCTACAGTACTATGACCTATCTACGTAGGGTATATGTTAGTCTACTTACTGTATGCTGATATATACATATTTATTTATTCATTTATTGATATACAGTACTACCCTTACTTCATTTACTGCTACGTGGGGTACAGCTGATACTCGAAGCCTCACAGAAAACAGTCATTAAGATCGGCATACTGTACATTGCTTTTCATAGACATATGAAGTTTTAGTTTTCATACTTTTGAGTTTCTCAGTGCCTTCTTCAAAGATTATAATTTAAAGTAACAGAGCCCCTACACAGTCTCAAAATTTTTATTCCCTGGTGTGACTTTTTTCTCAGAGATTTTGAAGCAGTTTATAATATTAATTAAAAGTGTATAAGTTCATGTTAGAGACTGGGCATGTTAAAGGGTGTTACATGTTCTGGAGAGAAACCTTTGAGGCAGTTGTCGTAATATGAGAAATCATTTCTTGGGTGGTTTTGAACTTTGAATGTACGGAAGAAGACATTGCTAAGTGCCTAACAGAACTGCATTTAACAACTTATAAGGAATAAAACATTTTAAAAGGGCATTTATTATCGCATATTAAGCTAAATACCGTACTTAAAGGGAAACTTACAGTAGAGACAAAATAAGGGAAGGATAGAGAGGTAAATAATTGTATGAAGGCTGATACTAGTTGACATACAATACTAGCTGAATTTTACATCCCTGTCAATACTTGGTGTCAGTGTACTTTAAGAATTAGTTTTCTTTTTCTGCTTATGCTTAATTTCTCGCCCTCTGCATAAATGAAAAAGCTTATTGTACCTGCTTGTATAGCCTTCCCCCCCCCCCCTTTTTTTAACTGTTTCAGATAGTGTAGCCAGTAGCTAACTGCTTTGTATACATTATTCATATCAATTTAGTAAAAGACAATTTTTAACAAATTTTGAGGTGGTCATTCGGATTTTTCAGGAGTTGAAAAGTTCAGGGATAATTTTTCATTGGATTGTATTGAGAAAAGTTAAGAATTTAGAAACTAGTTATACATAAAATGTAGTAGATAGGATATATTTATCTACAATAGTACTGTACCACTCAAGTTTGCCAACCATTACAGCAGATCCCCACTCTGTGTACCCTTTCATATACAGGCAGTCCCCGACTTACGACAGGGTTAGGGACCCAAATCCAGGTTGTAAGTCGAATTGGTCGTAAGTCGAAAATGCGAAAATAATACATAGAAAATCTAAAATGGGTGTCTCTTTTTCTTCTCAGCACCATAAAACTCTCACTTTTAAGCTTGCCAGCCATTTTAAAGGGAATTATAAACGAAAATTTTGTCAGTACACAGCGCAATCACTAACGTCGGGACTCGAAAATATGTAATTTGAAAAAAATTTGGTATGACTGCGGCGGCCGCATGTCCGGGTGGTCGTAAGTCGAGTAGGTCGTAAGTCGAGGAGCACCTGTATTTAATGAAAAGTGGTGATTGAATGGACCTTTGAGCTCCATGTTTTATCTGTATTATTCTTGGTGGCACATGCTTTCCCAAAGGTTAAACTCTTGACCAAGTGCTGACACAGCCTCACCTGCTTCACCACACCTTAATACTTCTAATTTTGTTTCTAATGTTTAAACCGTCATCATTTGTTTCATCAATGAACAAGTAGAGGGGTTAGCAGATGCACTAGAAGGTTGCTTAGTCAACTATAGTGACAAGTCCACACACACTAGATGTGAGTGTTACAGGTCCGTACACTACATTGGACAATAGTAGTACACTGGGTGAGGGAGCACAGAAGAAAAGAATGGGGTAGAAGCTTCTTAAACTCCAAATTCTTGGGACCCTTTCGTGAAGAGGGGTGTATTGAGGATTGTTAGGATGGGAGAAAGTATAGGTGACTGCCAAACAATGAGGGACAACATATGTAAGAGAGAAATTAAGTTAATATGTTTTTTACCAAAACTTTAATGAGCCATATCTTGAGACCTTATGAATCAACTAATAGTCCGCAGCCTCTTAAGTTTGTTTAGAACTTTTGGGAGTTACTGCTTATAATCTTCTTCATTATTTTAGATTGCATCAGATTAATTGTTACAAATTATATTAGTTGTTTTTTTATCATTTACTTTAATACCATATAGCGCTTAGCTTTGGAATTTATGATGTGATGCAATACAGTAATAAGAAATTCATTGTTACCCACTAATGTTATCTGCATCTCGATGAGCATGATGCCGATGCTAACTTACATAGATAAGCTTGCCTTGCCTTCTTCCATGTAGTCCTGTACTTTACATTTGTAAATATTGAACATGTGGTTAAGGGCATTATAATTTTTTTCTAGATTTACAATAATTTTCACATACTGTATTGTGTTTTCTTTTTTAGCTGTAGAGTATTTTGGGTTGCACAGTTTCTTTCTTCCAACTATTGAATAGATTTATTAATTATGTATCATTTGTTTAACTCTAACCTTCAGTATACATATACTGTACAGTATATCTTTTTCATTAAAATAGTACTCTTATATTTTTAGTGTACATATATACTCAGTATCATCTTAATTTGCTTCCTCACTTCATGTACAGGATGGTGAACCTGGTATCACTTTTTTCTTAACAAGTTATATCCACATCATCAATGATAATATAAAGTGAGGACAACAATAAGTGGATGTGTTGAGCATATAAATTTATTGATTGTTTTCAGTAAATCTCCAGAATGCAAGTCTATATTTCCAGTACTGTACTGTACACTCTGCTGTTTGTGTATCACCTTACTGTTAGTCATTGATTATGACCAAAGTTTGAACTTACCTTCGTATCATATTATAAAGATTGCCTTTTTCTTAATTTTCTTTAATCAATTGAGTAATTTGTCTTATAAGCTTTAATAATAAATAACAAGGTTATTTAATAAATTATCTACCATTCAGTTACTGTACATTACCATTCCTAAGCATAAATTACAATACAGTTTTTGAGCATATGATATAATGTTTTTATCATCACAGTGCATTGTTGCAGTTATCACATGCTTACCTCTTTACACTGTCAGAGGCAGTTTGAACTCACACTGCAAATGATTCAGTCAATTTTTATTCTTTGATTGACCTTAGCATTATATTTGTATGGAGAGGGCTGGTTCTTGCTTTGGAACAGGTGTTGAAGGTACTCTAACTCTTCAGTAGGAAGTATTTGAAGTACGCACCACCTTCAGGTATATTGTAAAATGCTTGCCAACCTTTCCTTCTCACTATAGTGAACTCCTTTGTTTATGCCCACAATGAGGCTGCTGGTGGAATACCTAAGAAAGCCACCAAAAAGAAGACATCCGAGAATAATGCACAGGTAAGTTTTTCACTTTTCAATGTGTAATAGTGAACAAACTTTTCATTTTTAGGCAGTTTGTTTTTCTTAAGATTATTAGGACTACAAAATGATGTTGGTATTTTGTTTATCTCAATTTTGTACTGAACATTTTCCTTGTTAATGAATAACTGCAAAATAAATTTTCTTAAAATATATCAGGTATATTTAATAGGAGAGGTATTCTGAAATTATGAAGTGCACAGAGACTATTAAATTCATATACGTACAGTAGATGTGTGTGTCTGTCTGTCTGTCTGTCTGTATAGGGATTAGTTGACCTGAAATAGATGAAACTGAAGTATAGAACATAGTTTGTAATGTTTAGTGAATTGAAAATGAAGAACCATTGTAGACTTTGATAAATGACAAATGTGTATGTTTTAAATTGTTTTAATGCCTTGCATGCAGATCAGTATAATGTGTAGCAACAGAAGGCTTGTATACTGTAGTGTAATTGAACCTAACCTAACCTGTTTACTGAACTTGGAGACCTTCATCAGTCTCATAAAGTAAACAATAAACATTATTATTACATAGAATATTGCCTGTACTTATTGTTTTCTTCTTTGTATGTGGGAATATGTCTTAATAAATAAGTCCTCTCCCTCATATATAGTATTGTAATGCCTTTTAGGATGTACAGTATTGCCTGAATACCTAGGGTAATTTTTTTCCTGACCTAGCTTATTTTATTTGTGAAAAAATGGTGCTCTTCAGAAAGAGATGGATACACATAGCTGAGCAATATAAGAAATTAGTATAAATGCTCTATATAATACTTAAAACAAATATGCTACCTTACTGTAATCAATAGAAGTTCATTTTGATTGTTAGAAATGCAATGTAGAAAATCCTGTTAGAAGTTTAAGTTGGTTAAAATTAGAAATAATTGTTCAGACGTTATGATAAACCTTCCCCAAAATATTTCCAGCGTGGTAGCAAGAAAAAATCAGCACCCAAAACACCTTCTAAAACTCCAAAGAATGCCAAAAAGGATGATGACGACCCCAATAACAAACCGTATGGTTGTGAACGTAAGATTATGTCACTTTCAGTTGCCTTGAACAAGTTTAATAAAGAGTTCATTTATTGATGCCATTTCATCAATGTACAATAATTAATTATGTGCAGTACTTTATCATTTTCATTTGCTTGCTGCCTTGCACAGTGGTTTGTCCAGAATTTAAAGATTTTTGTTGATAATTATTTTATTTTTATTTTTTGCCAGTCAAAATGCAAGTATAATTTTTTTTTAAGTCCAGTACAATATTATGCATCCACTGCTGCATGTTTTCATAATACAGAAGATATTTTTGGTGTACGATATTTTCTTAATTTCTTGTTTTCAGTTTACTGTAAATTATTTTGCTTCCATTATTTTCCCATTAATTGATATCTGTGTTTTAGTTAATCAGCTTATGTTACAGTGTTATGTGCTGCTCTGAGCTTGTATTGTGGAAATAACTTTTTAGGGATTATTATATAACCCATTGTCTGGAGGACAAGTTTATCACCAGAACAAATACAGTACAATGTATTGTTAATCTAAAAACATTGAGGACAGTAGAGTACTTTTAAACATAATGAATTCAATGTAATGTGAAGTTCACCTAGACACCTGCTGTAAGTAATGTGGCTAGTGCACTTTCTTACTTGCATTTGTGAGGTGCTTTCTATTTTCTGTAATTTTGTGAAAGTATCAAATTCTCAGTTACATAAAGCTTATTCAGTTTTAAATTAAATCATATTTAGTTTTTTGATGCATTAATAAAATTGGCTAACATAAACAAAATGTTTTTCATATGTAACACAGAAAATAATTTACTAAACAATATACAAGTATTACAACAAGCGCTAATTTACTTGTTGAAATTTTGCTTAATGAAACGTGAATCTCTTGGAAGTTGTCTTTGACTATCGATATAAAGAGCTCATTTCTGGATACATCATAAAGTGTCTCTGAAACTGATCAGAGGTAATCTTTGAAGCTTCATCTTTAGATAACATCATTGTCCTCATTACCATTTTATGGCCATTTTCCATGTTTGTGTGTGTTAGCCGTGACTGCTTGATGGCACGACATCCCAGTTGCCATCAGGCAAATTTGAAGCAAGATTTACATTTGGATAAACCTTCCTATTGCCAACCCAATTTTACAGAGTGAGAACTAGACATTGTATGTAGGGTTTCCAAGTGCCCTCCTAGCAGAGTTGCTACTTCCTTCCTGGGGTAATCAAAGAGTACTGTACACACCAAGATGCATATTATTACACACCCTTTATTTGCTCTTATATAGACTTGCTTTATCACTGACTTGAAGGATAAAAACGTACAAATAGCCTTTGTCATCCACTCCCATGCACGTCATAATTGTTTTGACTGGCTGTTTCACTTGACGTACTATGCATGGTCAGAGCTTTAGAGAAATAGGAGGCCATGCTCCTACTTACATGTATTGCTGGAGTTGATATTTACTTGAACTGGATTAGTGAGTGTCAGCTAAAAAAAATGAACCTGAATAGTTATTGCGACATAATTAATTGGTCCTCTGAAGGATTAAAGTTTAATCCATTAAACCATTAATATCCTTGGTTGACAGGCTTTAATATTAATCTTGGCCATTATGTTATGATCTCCTGGGTTTCAAACCAATGGCTTTGTGTATACTTATACTCAAGCCACTTATTTCCAAGCTCAATCTTAAAATGGGTTTTCAAGGTGAGATTTTTTTTTCACCCTTTCTCATATTTTTTTTATTTGGGGTTTTATGGTGTTTTTTTAACAGTTCTCTTTTCTGTTGACCTTTGTACCATGGCTGGTGGACCTTTAAAACCTGTCTATACTGTAATCACCTTGCATCATTGCATTCTTTCATATCATATGCATCACACAGTTCCACCATGTGTTTCTCCTATTTGTGCTGTTAGTACAACAGCAGCAACTTGAACCATTCCTTCTCCAATATTACCTGTTGGTGACGGTGGTTGTTCATGTTATAACACCAATACTATCTTTGTGCCTGCTCATGTTAATATTCTTGCAAATATTTCCTTTGCTTTAGCTCCCTATAATAGGTGTTCATGGTTAGCTTCTGCAAGTGCTTTTGTTATACGTACTCATTACTTATGCACCTGTGCTTTGCTTTAACTTTGCAATTGCTGTTCCTGCTGCAGTTGTTACTTCTGTTATAGCTACTGTAATTTGTTTTCTTGTAAGATTTGCTACAGTTTATACTGTCGCAGCTGAAATACTTTTTCTTGTTGAAGGTGATGCAGTACTTACTGCAGTTGTGGCTTGTGCTCTAAATTTTGCAGATGGTACTACTAATGGAGCTTGGAATTTGTTGCTGATGCTGCTGTAGTTTCTGCATTTGTTGCTGATACTACTGTAGCTGCTGCAATTAATGCTCCTTTAGATGTTGCAGTTGTTGCTGCTGCAGCCACTGTAATTCGCACTGCTGATGTGACTGTTGTTACTGGCTCTGTTGCTGGCCTTATTAAATTTTTTGCTCGTGCTGTAGCTCCTGTGGTTGCCCCCAGTGGTGTAAATGATGCAGCTGCTGTTCCTGTTGTGTTTGGTGTAGTTTCTATCTTCCAGCTGTAGACAATGCAGTTGTTTTTCCCTGTGGCTACTGTAATTTCTACAACTCGTGTGGTTGCTGTAATTACTGCTATTGTTCTATCAACAGAATTTATGTAGTTCCTGCTGTGCACTGTTGCAGTTAGTGCTTTTTATATTTTTGCTAGAATTCATACTTATATATAATTTCGATTGTAACTTTGTTACTCGATGCAATTGTTTGTGTTGAATCATAGTTGGTGTCCACTGCCAAAGGTTTTAACTTTTGCCTCTTTACTCCATTTTTATTACTTCCAACTTGACTCACAGAAATGTAGAGGAAGAGATATTACTTTCTTAATGTATGTTCATTTAAATAGCTTTGATGTCAGTTAATTTAGGTTAATTGAGTTCTCTGTCAAGATTTCCTTTACACTTAATGAAAAACTTTGTCAGATGATGCTATAATTTTCAAAATGTACCGGATTTTGTGTTAATATGTGCCGTCTTGTCCAATAACTCAGAATTCTCTCTTTTAGTATTAAGCTTAAGTTATCCATTTTTGCATTTTTTTATTTGTTTATATGGAGAATAATTTATATTTGCTCTGAGTGGTTGATGTATGGTAAGTTTTATTACTACTAACTTATATTATTGAAGTTCACCTGAAAGTGTGGAGTGTGTGCGGCATGTTTGCTGGTGTGTTGCAGTGTGTGGGATGCGGTACAAGACGCGGCCTGGCCTAACTTACCACTATGCACACTCGCATAAGGAGGAGAAGGAGGAGGAGGCTAAAGCCCCTGCTAGAGCTAACGAGCAAATCCAGGCTAACGACCCCACCCCAGACTACTTACCAGTCCAGGCTCAGGCCTCTGCTATCCCACAGTGGGGTCAGAACAATATTTATTCAGGTTGGAGTAGGATAGAAAATTTTTGCAGGACTCCCCTATTGATCCATTATTTCCAAATCCTTGATCCTTGTACCTCCAGTATACTCTCTTGTACCTAAAGTGTCAACACTACTCACCTCCCTGTAACTTGGTCAATATTGTGGTGGCATCTGCTTTACTCAGTGCAACTGCAGAAAGTGTCTTTGTTGGTAAAAATAAAATATGCTTTGGGTACCTGCTGCTGCATCTGTAATAAAAGCCTTGCTGTAGTGAACGGGTATTTGCTGTGTTAATTTTAGACCATCAAGTTGCAGCAGACTCCTGCTTAAACCTGACTAAGCTTTTTTAATTTGTTGTAGAGTACTGTATTTAATTGAACTAATTTATGTAAATAACCCTTGTTGTACCTTTTGCTATTGCTTTACTATATTTGGACTAATTATTGTTTTGCATGCAGTATTTACTTTTTTTTTTTTTTTTTTTTTTGTACACCCATTGACAGACGGTAAACCTCTGAGTACAGTATTTTGGAGTCATCTCTGTGCTGTTATGTATCAGCTCTGCCTCAACACCTGCTACAGTAACATGGTGCTGCTGGCACAGGAAGGAAGCTGTGCACTGATTCTTAGTTTTTCTTATACTTTAGTAATTTGGCTATTTTATTGTTTGTACAGTTCATCAATAAGAACAACTTTAAATTCTTATTGTAATTAAATTTCCTACTAATTAGAACATGAGGAAGATTTTTGTCATACAGGAAAGTAAGTTACATTGTCCTATGTTACAGGGTGACAAAAGAAACAAACACTCTTATTAGTAAATAGACTTCCGGCTATGACCAGGCATAACATATATATATATATTGTGTAGATGGCACTGTTATTTTTAATATTTGTACACTGTATTTGCCTTTGCACAGTTTTCTATACCTGAGAAAGCAATTTTAGAGTTCTTTCTTTATTCTTATATATGTACTGTATAAGCATGATAAAGGTGTATTTAATTGTACCTGTATGTATACTTGCAAATATGGTGTTGCCTTTTCCTAAGTACACCAAGCTTTATGACCAGGCTGAATTACAATTTTATTTTTGTGAGCTTGTTATTTATGCTCTTAATTTTAGTAAAAAAAAAAATCAAGAGGGCAGTGTGCATAGGCACAAAAATCTTAGGAAAAAACTTCCTAGGTGAAGGCCTGTGGTCATACAATTTTAAGTTACTTTTGGGAAAATTGTATGAATGATTGTATATGTGTGAGTCATTGTAATAATAGTTATTCAGCTGAGTGTTGGAGCACCATGTACTGCACTGTACTCTGGAAACTTTTGAGTCAAATGGACCCCATTTATAATAGGCTCTAACCAAACCATATAATTAGGACTGGACCCTATTTGTAACAGGTAAGAACCATTAACTTAGAGTATCCTGGGACTTATTAGGACTGGAGCCCATTTGACCAGGTACCATATGGAAGATGTGTTTTTGGTATGAATCTTCAATATGCAGCTAGGATTAGTTATCAGGTCATTATCAGTATGAAAATTAATTGTTGACCAATCTGGCATCTTGTACAGTCTTGTTCAAGATTCTTCGAACACTGCTGGAGACAGCTGGCAACTCAAGGCCATTTGCTTACTATAGTACATAGTATAATATGTATGAAACAATAAAGCCCAACCAATAAAATAAGCAACGGGGAACTAAGTAACCAATCACCGATCACTTTTACATTTACAGCATTCATAATTATACTGCTGTAAACAAAACATCCTTGAGTTGCCAGCTGTCTCCGGCAGTGTTCGAAGAATCTTGAACAAGACTGTACAATAGTCTTTGTGGTGCCATGAGAATGGTAATAGTACTGTATTTATAATAGTGTTTCTGTTTATATATATAATGCAATACTTGTACTACCAAATTATTGATTTATAGACTTAAATTATTGTTTTTATTTAATAATTTGAAGAAGTTACTTCAGGCAATATTATTTTCTCTAAAATATTGGGGTAATTGGTGTGCATCAAGGTCTTCATAACAAAGTAATGCAGAAAAAGAAAAAACTTACAACACTCATTCTTTTTCATATACTGTACTTGTATCATGTTTAAAAACATGATTGACCTACATAAAACCTCCTTTAGACATCTTCAGGTCCTAGACATACAAATAATGATAAGTTCATAAATAGATGCAAACCCATCAGATTATAAAACCAAGTTGTAAGAGAAGTTATATTGGACAAGATAGTACAGTATTCAGTATCCTGGAACTTATTTTAATTTTAAAACAAATATGCTTACAAAATTGAGCTTAGTTCATATTCTGCTTCCATTGTAGAATGTTCTTCCCTCCCTAGCTGCTGTTTTTGCATACAGATTGTGTTTTGCAATACTGTAAATAACTATGCCAAGACACAATCAGCCAAGAATACAGTGTTAAAGCAGTGTTAAGATGTAAAGAGTGATTACAGTTATGTATACTGTATTGTACATTCAGGAAGTGGGAAACACTGGGGCACCTTAGCTTTCACCTTTATTCAAGACATCTTCAGGTCATGAGGCCCACTAATCACCCACCCAAAATAGGTGACCTGACATTGCATCAGAAGGTCTTGACTGTGACACACAGTTCCATTCATGCCTTGCATGCCTATATATAGAATTTTGGTTTTTAAAAAATATTTATATAACCAAACTTTTAGATAAACTATTCAGAATTATTTTGATAAAAAACGGGTGTTTCTTACTTAATTAGAACTGTTATATTGAATCCGCTATCAACATTTCTTACGTTTTTTCATAAAAGAATTGAGTGTCCATCATAATATCATGCTGAAATATTTTGTTTAAGCATCGTTTATTGGAACAGTCTTGTAAAGAATTTATTGAGGATCATTGTGGTACCAAATTCATCTCTAATACTATTAGAACAGATGCTGTGAATAAAAGTTTATGCACTTTTTCGCTAGCCATAAATATTTTCATTTGTACCTGTGGTCTAAAAGTAATGGGAGAGTTTTAGTCCATGGGAAATAAGATGATGAGATGTGTAGTTTAGATTCAAGATGAAATGTGTAGTTTAGACTATGAAAACTTTCCCCAGCGCCCAGAAACCTTCGGGAATGTGTGACAGTGTCTATCAGTGTCAGATGCATACAGGTAGTTTAAACTCCCTGAAACTTTTCCCAGTATACAGTACAGTACCCGGAAAAAAAATCCCGGGATGTGGAATTTTTTCTGGGCTTAAGAAAGTCGTCTTGTTACCTTTCATCACTGGAAGAGCTCTGCACCAATTGTTCCAACTAATGGGGATATCAATGGGTACATTATAAATGCATAAGAACTAAAGCAGGCACCTGTATCCACCCAGCCTTCTCTGAGCCACAAGAAAGATTACTGATGCTCTTCTTTAGGGAGGTTAGAAGTGTTGTGTTGAATATTTTTCTTTGGTTGAGACAATAGTTCATCAAGGAAAAGTGTGAGAGAGATATAGAGGGGTTAATGGAATGGAGACAGATTGTCTCCTCCTTTTTCTTTTTCCTTTTCTTCCCACCCAAGAGAATAAGGAAGAGAAAAAAGAGGGAGGCAGGGGAAAATGGTGAAGTTCATTACCTTGTGGGTGGCATCTTTCTCTCTCTGTGTCATGGAGAAAAAAGAAGGGGAGAAACCACAAGAATAAGATGAAAGATAATGGAAAAATATAAATGTGAGTGAAGTTAAGTTACTAGCAGTATCCAAGTCAGTGTAGGGTCAAGGGGTGGGGTGGTAATGTCTCATAATGAAATCAGGTTGATCAATTTCTAGCAACAAGCCCATCCTGTGTAATAAATTGAACCTTAATTGTGTTAATTTTTGATGTTCGTTTCTCATTTGACAAGACACATCGACACAGAACTTAGGAGAAAAGATAAAGATAAGGTTGTACTGTATCTACAATGTTGTATATTATTAGTGGTAAAAAGAGATTGACCTAATGGCACATGAAGGGGCAGGAGTTTTACTGTTGGCAATGTAAGTGACACTGACACAGCTGAACTATCATGGATTGTTCTCTTTATAACAACATTATAGAACATATTTTGTGTAATATATATTTGTACTTAAAGCTTGAATATCGAGGTATTTTCCAATTTATCGTACTGTAGAAGGTGTGATTTGAGTGCTTTATGCCCATTTTGTATCACAGTTCAATGAGCCATGGATTAGCAAATTGTGAATTGAAACTCCAGGATTAGGTGGGATCTACTGTATGGCACATATATTGTACAGCAAAATTAGACAATGTTATGACAGTACAGTAGTTGTAAATATTACACCATTGTAGTTTAGTGGTAGGCAGTTTACATTTATTTGATAGACTGTAGTGGTATGTCTTCACTTTTTAGAATCATAGAATTAGATGTACTTTTTTAAACCTGTAGTTACCGAATCTTTTGCTGGTGCAGAAGTAGAGCTTATGGAAGAGCTGCTGAGTAGTGCATTTAGTAAAGACTACTTATTACCTAAATAATTTGGAATGACAGTGCAGTATCAGACTTTCAAACCTTTATCCTATCCTTGAGATGAGTTTGTCCTGATTATATATATGTATAATTAATATGTTTTTTTTTTTTAATGTTCTGTGTTTTGTTTATAGTTTTTGCACCACATTGAATGTTTCATATTGAACTGAGGAAATATAATTTCTATGAAGGTCATGCATGTTAAGAAAATTATCTGTCTTGCTGTGACATTAGCATATCTTTCTTGGTCAAAATTTGCTTTTCCCATATTCAGATTAGGAGAAATCATACAACACCTTCCTCATTCACTATATCCATCACTCTTCTATTTATTTCTATATACTTCCATCTTTAATTCTTAAACCCTAAACCCACCTCATCACTTCCTTATTCTTTTTTTTTTTTCACTATTGTTGTTTTCTTCCTTGGGGTTCATTTTACATTAGGTTACATACTTGTCTTGTAGTTAGTTGTATCACTATCTTTATCTTACTTACACTTCACAGTCATAATGAAGTGTATCTCATCTGTGTTATGAACTTACTGTGCCAGAACCACTATCACTGGACTGCCTTACCAATGACTGAGCTAATCTTCTTGATAAATTTATCCACACTAGACAGCTCACTCTCTTGTACTAGTATGTACAGGTTTTGCTCTGATAGATCATCAGTTTGTTTACTGAGCAAAGCTGTTTTCTGTTCAGTGCTTAGTTTTCACATCTTCACATCAACTACAGTGTACCTCAAAATATTGAACTTTTGGTTGTTTCCTGATTTTTATATAGTAAGACAGATATTATATTTCTATTCTTCTAGAAGCACTCCCAACCTGCTCTTAGTTCTCACATGCATATTTTTATTAATTGCTTTTATATATAGTAATGTACATTGGGGTGTTTTTTTGTTTTTGTTTTCATTAATTTTTTACTTTCCTTTTGGTTAAAAGATTACAATTCAGTTAATGGACCGTGATAAAAAGTATTATTATTTTATCTTAACTCAGTGAGGAGATGGAATCTCTGGCCTCTTCCTGTTACTGCATATATGACTTATTACTAAACATCCATTATTACACCCAAACTAATCATCATAGGACGCACCTCAGGCCGTCGTTCATGCTCCGTGGGTCAGGCAAACGCTGGGTCCACGATGCCTGCAGCAGTTGCGACTCCCAATGATGCAGTAGTCGACAAGGGTGTGGGGAAGAAGAAGGTCTCCGCTTCACCCTACTGTGATTTCTGCTTGGGTGACTCGGCAGAAAATAAGAAAACGGGAGTCCCCGAGAACCTTGTGTCATGTGCTGACTGTGGACGATCAGGTGAGAATTATTGAAGGCTTGGTTATATTTATTAATTTTATCAGTGGTTAAATTGTAATAGTAAAATGTCCACGACTGATAATATCATGATTATGGGTGTTCATGCCATATTGAATTGATTACTGTATATATACATCATTTTCATGGGGAATATTATCCTAGTACATCATTCCATTATATTGTATCATAGATTGCTAGGTGAGCCAACCAGCAGGGTGTGTTGATCCGTAAAATTAGGTTGTGCTGAGGTATAGAATGTTCGTAATCATACTCAAAGGAGAACTTCTATATGTAGGATAAATCTAAATACTGTACATAAATATATTTATTAAAAACACAGCAAAGGAAAAAGTAGAAGAACAAAAATCACTGATGCATTTACTGCAACATCCATGTGAGGATGAGGATTTTTTGGTCCAACATTACTTAGCTTAACCAACCAGCAATGGTTTCCCTCACCAAGTAACACATGAACTGCATGAAAAATACCCAGGAACAACCACACGTACAGTAGAAGAATTAATGTAAAATAACAGGAGAAATATATATTTGTGTGGACTGTCAAAGCTTAGATATTATTGAGGTTTACTACACACTGTATTGTGATGTTTGGCTTGTTAAAAATGTTGTATAGATTATGACTCTTAGTGAAAGTTAAATAAATGTACTGTACCAATATAATGACTTCCTTTCTCCCCAGGCCACCCAACATGTCTTCAGTTTACATCTAACATGATGAAGAGTGTCGTGAAGTACCGTTGGCAGTGTATTGAGTGTAAGACATGTACGCTTTGTGGTACATCAGAGAATGATGTAAGTATACATTAATTACTGTTATTATTAAGACCCCCAAAGGGAAAGTGGGGAGAGTTTTTTACTCAAGTATTATTGTTATTACAGAAATTCTCACATCTTTCACTAATTTACCTGTCAAGAGGGTACCACTCATAAATACAAAGTATAAATGTAGCTTTTATTATTATTATTATTGTAATATACATTTTGTAATTTTCATATTCAGCCCTCAAGGCAATTAATAAAAAGGCCCAGAAAGAAATGATTCAGTGCTTCTGGCGCAGAAGACTACATTAATCCTATAATATATACACATTAATGCATCTGTTGTAAGTTAATATTTTTTTTTTTTTTTTTATACTGGGATTAGCCCACCCGGGCACAGGTCACTGACCCACATCGGGGCCTGGGGGGCGAAAATGTAATAAATAATAATAATTCATAATAAATAAAATGTATAAAAAATTAAAATAATAATGATAATAGTAATAAATATAAAAATAATAATAATAATAATAATAATAATATTAAACATACAAAAATGAAAAAAAGATCAAGTGAGAAACAATATATGTATGTTGTGTTGTCAAATTAAGAGAAACAATTGAGACCCTGCAATTGTGTGTAAATGAGGCAGAAAGTCAGATCAGCAACCATGGAACTTGGTCACAATTTTTTTGGTGCCATATGGCAGCAGGGTCTACCATTAGGCAACACATTATGCTTTCAATATCTTCCCAGGCAGTAGTACCTCCCTGTTTGGTAGTTATAGAAATGGCACTCTCACTTTACTCTCACTTACTGTGTAAGTATAATATAACACAAACTAAACTGTCCAGGTGCAACTTGAAACTCATTATTTACTCTTTTGTTTATGCAGTAATGTCAGTCTACACACCTGTTTCATACACCTTGAAGGTACATCAGGAGTTAAATATGGCTGGCTTTAATGCTCTATGTCATATAAGGCGACTTTCTAGGGAGGCCTCGTACACTATGACTGAATGTATTGTGTATGTGCTGTGTGACTCATAAGCTCACAGGTGTAGGCAACACATCTATTTCTGTGAGAGAGAAATATTTGGTTTATGATACATGTGTATACAGTATAAGTAATTATATTAAAATATATAAATCATTTACATTGCTTAATTGGCTAATTTAAAGTGAGCAAATGTATAAATATTCCTTTTTACCTTCAACAGGATCAGCTATTGTTCTGTGATGACTGTGACCGAGGATACCACTTGTACTGCCTTGACCCACCTCTCTCAGAACCACCTGAAGGAGAATGGTCTTGCTACTTGTGCTTGCAAGAGTTCCATACTAATTAAGTTTAGAGGTGACAAGATTATCACATCTCCTGAAAATTCATCTTTGAAAAGGTTAGGAACTTGGAACAAGATAAAATGGACTATATGTTTGAATATTTCTAGCTGTACATTGGAATAAGAAAAGTGTACTGTGCAGTTCATAATGCAGATAAAGCTCATGAAAGGAGAAAATGTTGAAGAGAAAATTGTATGAAATGCAGGAGCATTAAGTACAGTAATGTTTACTTTTTTTCTGATACCACAGAGAGTTTGTTTGAAGGCTCAGATGGAGTAGAAAAAATTTAGCATTATGCTGTATATGCTTTGAAGGGAAATGATACAAGTTGTAGTATGTTATGATGCATCTATATGAATGAATGAAATGAAGAATGGTTGTGTCTCATGCTTAGTTGTCATTTCCTCAGGGAATGTGGGAATATTGGTAACAAGACTATTTAATAAATTAATTCAGTCCCATAAGAATGTAGATATAGTGTCTTGTCTTGATTTCTGCCGCCTTTTGAAGGTGAAGCATCAGATGTTGACCATTTTTATTATATGTTTAGCATAGGAATAGAATGGTTTATTGTACCCATACTGGTCACCATGTTTGAATCTTAATGTAGAATTAAGATCACATGTAACATAACAAAATTATCATTGTGCCAGTATGTACAATGGAACATTATTGTGCTCCTTTCTTCATATGGTTTTCTCAAATACATTGTGGCACACATGACATAATGGAGTATACTAGTAACAATGACAAAAAATTGAAAGGCCAATTCAAACTGTGCCTACCATATAAACTTCAGGAAGTGTATAACTTTTTAAAGCCATTTTATAAGGGGTTTCAGTAGTGTGATATAACACAGCATTGTGTTCATACAGCAGCATATACTGTATCTGACTAATTTTATTATTATTATTTTTCATTTACAGGAAGGCTCTTGATAGGTGAAATAATTCACTTGATAATGCATATTTACATCTCTGTATTAATTAACCTACTGTATCCAGACCAGGATATATGCTCTGAGAGAACTTTTTTCAAGGCAACTATGCATCTTTGAGATGATATATATATATATATATATATATATATATATATATATATATATATATATATATATATATATATATATATATATATATATATATATATATATATATATATATATATATATATATGTATGTATATTGTCTTCATTTACGTGGTCAATTGAACCCTTGGAGGTCCGTGTAAAACGAGAAACGCGTAAACGAAATAACAGAACATATGGGATTAATTGAAATAGAGACTGGGCCGACTCCCAAACTCCACTTTTTCCGACACAATACGTACGTTGTAGTAAAAATAATATCTTAATTTTATGATGGTATGCACACAATTAATATTTAAGAGAAATATCAATAATATTAGGTTTTTTAACACTTGCGTTAGTAGAAAAGATGAGTGGGCACACGGGGATGGGGGTTGGTTCCAAGGCAGAGGGCAGATTATTGGCCCTCACCTGTATCACTTGTATCAATTGTATCACTATCCACCACAGAGGCTTGCAGGGCCTCTTTGTCAAACCCCTCAAAGTCCATATCCTCACTATCACTATCACTGACTTGGACTTGCTGTGGTGGGTGGCGGGTGAAGAGCTCGGTAATGTTTTGATGACTGGGCGACCTTGTGGGCACCTTGCCCGTCCCGCTTCCCACGTAAATGACCAAAATTATATAATTAAAGTATTTACATAAGGCATATGCATATATACATATATATATATATATATATATATATATATATATATATATATATATATATATATATATATATATATATATATATATATATATATATATATATATATATATATATATATATATATATATATCTTGATAAAATCAAACGGGAAAAGGAAAACAACGGAGCACCTTAGCTTTCGTCTTTATTCAAGACATCTTCAGTTGCCTCTGAAGATGTCTTGAATAAAGACGAAAGCTAAGGTGCTCCGTTGTTTCCCTTTTCCCGTGTGATTTTATCAAGATTTATCTTATCCACGTTTTCATTGTGGATCTACACGAAATATATATATATATAATTTTTATTTTTTTTAAGAGGAAGAAGGAACAACTGCAGCGCCCAAAACATAAGCCTAAGCGTTCTGCATGTTGGTATGCCTGACACAATAAAGCAGTTGCCAACTGCTTGTTATATTTCTAGTTACTAGAATTATAGGCCATTTCACATGAGAAAATTCATTATAATTTATATACTGTATATATTTTTTTCATTCATCAGTATAGCATTGGATTCTTCATGACAACACTAAAGCAGTTCAATACAAGGATGGTGAAAAACTCATCTTAACATTTTAAGGACAGAACATCCTTAAAGAGAAATAACAGGGAAAGGACAAAGCTCATATTACAAAGCATAAGGGGGTAATTATATTTGAGTAGTTGAGCATATAGTAGTGTTCAGCAGCAGTATCTGTCTTTGATATTCATTGTAATTTTTAAAAAAAACTATTCTCTGGTTTACATTACTGTATTTGACATCACATGAATTTATTTACATTATAAATACTGTACTGTAGCAGCTAAGTCAAGTAACAGTAATACAAACAATGACAGCTAAATTAAAGTCTAAATGCAGTGTCTTTAAAGTTGAATACAAAACTTGGATGTTGGGAAAGGTCCAGTCAACACACACACACACACACACACACACTTACCGAAATGAATGGTAAGTTAGCCTTTTTAATTTTTTGGCACGGACTTGTTAGATTAGGGAATGGTAAAGTATCATTAAATCTGTGACTGTAAATACTTATTCTCACATATTTTTCTTTTCTCATTTAGAAATTATGAACATGGACAGACTTGACATGGGATATAATGAACAGTGCAGGATAAGCTGGGCATTGTTGTCATCCTTCAAAGTGTTGCTGTTTTAGCTGTAAGATATTAATCAATTCACCACACATTGTCCCACATGAAATTCTCCAGGGTTAAAGTGTTCCTAAACTTTTTAATGTTTTGATTTAAAGTTGACAAAATAAAATATAGGATTTCACCAATAGCAGACAGTTTTGGATTGAGAATATTAGTCCATTACTTTGATTGGGAATACAGTATATTATATAAACTTTCCATAACTATTTTTTACTTTTTGTGGGGTATGTGGTAGCTATGGGACTAAAACCCTCTTGGTTTTAGCACATCTTCTAATACTTGAAATTGCAATATATTTCTGTAATACAATGCCTTTATTTAATAGCTCTTTACTAATCAAGAATACAAAATATTTTAGTGTGATACCAGAGGCACAAATATAGTCTGTAATATAAGCTATATATGAAAACATGCATTACTGAGCTGTATATATTCCTCTTTGCAGTTTCTAGAAATCCTAGTTATATCAATGCCTCAATACTTCATGACCCAGTTAGCCAGAAATAGAGTATCCAGGATATCAGATGTTGATGTTTATGCTCATATCATGGTTTATGTTAGTGCAGATCTGTAATAGCATTAATATCAAGACATGTCAAGGGTAATGCCATATCTGGTTTGCCCTCTTCTGGATAATGGAAGTCTTGGTGCGAGTTGCTACCGAGGCCTTCAGTGGTTGTCCGTGTATCTTTGAACTATGACCTTCATCCTTTGCTACCGTTGGCTTCAGGCCACATGTTGTTGTGAAAATATTTGTATACCGTACCAGCAGCAATGGTTCTTCCAGAATTTATTTCCATATATGCATTGCTCGTTTGTATTAATGACAGATATTTCTTTGACAGGACATATTTTTTTACCATCAAAAGTCACTGATGTGCCAACCACAAGGGACTACATTTTACTAAGATTTGACTGGAGAATATATATGTCACAAATTTCGTATCTATCCTAGATATATGTATTCTCCTGTCATGCCTTAAAACTCATCTACAAATTTATCCTAAGCACAGGTAAACAGATACTCATATTCATCTCATTTATACTGATTGCCAAACAAAATAAGAGAATATCAGTTCTCTTGGTAAACTAGTGCTAGTTTGTCTGTGAAGCTGAGGAATACACAGTGGCCCAGGTACTTCACTTTTTAAAAGCATAAAGTTAATGAATGCACAACTACTTATGTACCTGGTACTATGCACTACCAAGCAGTGTGTTGTATTCCTCAACTGTTGTGTGAATCACTTTGATTATTCACTGTAACATTATAGTAGGTATTTAGGTCAACATTAGCCACAGGTAATAATCAGTGTTCCAGTGTTGGAAGTTTTCTACATGTGTGCATTTCAGCAAATCAAAACATGAGCTGGTGAAGACAAAATAGGGTAAGTTTACCCTGATAACTGAGCAGCAGTCCACTGTATACAATGTGTGCGGTTGTGTTCCTACAGCAGCAGCATCTTGTAGTTATTTTTACAAGATACACTCCCTTATGTAACAGTTTGTCCAATGCTTATGAGCAATAGATCCTTTAGTTTGGTCGATATTATGAAGCAATACTTGAATACTGTTAACACTTCACCATTAATCCTTGTAACTAGTCGCTAATTAGTAAACATTTTTATTGTTTCATTACTTTGTGAGGTAACATTTCTTTTTCATTTATACATTATTTTTTATTTTATTTCTTTAGGCTTATCTTATCCTAAGGTCAAAAGATCTTTTCCTTTCCCCTGTTTTATACAAACACGCATTCTCAAGGACTGTTTCAGGATCTCGACCTTGTTATTTTGATTTGTTTATGGTATGAATGGCATTTTGAATCTTGGTGAGAAAAAAATTATTAAATGTTACTTAAACAGCAGAGTGAAAGTCTAATGAAAATTATTTTAAGCATTCTTTTAGTGTAGTTAAGTAGAATTGTTGAGGTGTTACATTATAAACAAATATTAACATGTTGAATGAAGGGTGGTTCTATCCATGGTAAATTATATGCCTATGTTCAAAGGAGACACACTAAGGTCAGAAATAAAATTTAATGACAGGATTATCACTGGATTAAGAAAATTGTATCTTTTGGCAGCTACAGACTTTGAAACAACTGACTTTTATTTAATACTTATTGTATCTAATTAATTACAAGCTATGATTAATTGTATGATATTAATCTTGGAATATAGGTATGTAATATGATCTGTGAAAGCACTTTATGGCTTAATTATGTCTCCATAATTCACCATTGAATTTACAAATATGTTATTCGTAAACATTAGCAAAATGTCCGTATAAATCTCTGTCCCCAAACTTTAAGTGAACCTAGTGTACAGAAACAGGCATTATGTGTTATCTCCTACACAACTTGCACGGAAGTCAGGGTCTTTAGGGTAACAGCATCTTTCCATGTTCCATTTTAACATGGCATAAAGTATTAACCAATTAATGATTGCATTTTTTAGGTACAGTATTGTCATGTACTTCCTTTAGTATTCTGCCAGGTGAAGAGGATTCTGCCAGGTGAAGACTGCATCTCCCTCACTGTCATACATGCAACTTTATATCAGGGCATATATATTAATTAACTTGGTCTCCACATAAAAATTTTGTCCTACTGTCAGTACCTGTCTGGGTCGGGAAATGGAAGTGGATATTTTAGCAAATTATTATTATTTTATTTTATTTTTTAATTATTATTTTTTTTTTTTAACCTTAATGCATAACTTGGATTTTTTTTACTTTGGAATTACTAAATTTATATATATATATATATATATATATATATATATATATATATATATATATATATATATATATATATATATATATATATATATATATATATATATATATATATATATATATATATATATATATATATATATATATATATATATATATATATATATATATATATATATATATATATATATATATATATATATATATAGTATGTGTAAAAATGATTTTCAACTACAGTCTACATATTACTTTATAAAAGAAAATTAGAAACCATACTGAAAATTTTATCATAGATCAATTGATCCATTTCTCTTTCCCACAGTGCTTGCCATTATTCTACCTCAGCCATGACACGGCAGCCCTGAATATCACAGTTAGTCATATGATTACCTTCTTATGCCATGATTTTA